CCTTATGTCCATGGCAGACACAAAACCTTGTCTAAAGCTCATTTCTTTATTTCGAAGGCATAAGACTCATAGTGGAAACAATTAAACAAAAACAATAAAGCTTAAACTGACCAGCTTTATCCTTTGGGTCATGGTGAAAATAATTTCCCTGTATTCCTTAATCTGGGCCAGATGATGGTCTATTCCCTCTAGATTAAACAATTAGTAGAGATTTCATTTTAATAACTTGTTAACGGGGAAGTTATTTAAAATATATCATTATACTTTACTTCTTTATTTGCTTTTGATGATACAAATACTGTAAAAATGGGCCCTACAGCTTGAAAACATTCCCCCCCCCTGCTATGATTATAAATGCTCATAAATAACCAGAATATTTCCACCTTTCAGGAAAAAAAATTCCAATGTTGTTTCACCATACTACAAAAAGTGTTTGACCCTCCTTCTGCTCCTCTCCATCCCCTTCCTTCCCGAGTAGGGATAGTTTATCTCCACAGAGCTAGGATTCAAGCCCCATCTGCCGTTAGTCTGCCAGATATCTGCCTGTTGTCTGTCTGAACTAACAGCTGGGTGTCACAGGCATTACACCAGCATTGCTGCTCCACTAAAACCTCAATGTCCTGCTGGATTTATGGAGCACAACAGACTGTGATAAGTGTTGTTGGATCCTCATTACCCATGTCTGTTCAGAGGAGGGTAGGGATTGTATATTTATGGTCCTAAATTATATATATCTAGCCATATGGGATACTCAAGTGGGTACAACAGATGACGCCTCGGGAAAGTGTTGTTTGGTTGTGGTTATTGAAGAAGGAGGAAGTTGCCCATGGAATAAAGTTAATTGTTGAAAACCTTTAATCTCAGTTACTCTGTTAGATACGGACACATTTTTGTCATCCTTTCCATTTTTAATATACGTACATTATTGTTAATCTACAATTCAAATTCTTTAAAACCTTCCAATTGTATGCTACTTGTTATAACCTTTTGGATAGACATCAGGCAAACTACATTTTTTATTGTGAAGCCTATTGCCTCCGTGTTTCCTTTTGAGATGCATTTAAGTAGAGTGGCACATAAAAGGATTCTTGTTCATCTGCTGCCCTTCGCCGTCCTTCCATCTGTCACACTGTTGTAAATGATTCATGTGGGCAAAAACTATAAATGTTCACCTGCCTCTTTCTGACAGCCCATCACTTAAACTTTCTTTGTTCAGATAATGTATGGAGGACAAGCATCCTGCTAGAATGTTACTGGTTTGAAAGACAAGTATAAAAAATGTTAATTTCAGTAGCTGGCATAGAAATCTTGCTTTCTAAGCACAGAGTGACAGACTGCTTCTTCTTATCTTGCAAAATATCAATTGTCTTGGTTAAATCTAGCACGCCTTTCATGTGTGACTCATTGAAGCTGCATTTCTGTTAGGTATGTGACTATTTATAAAACTGCTAGAGTGATGGATCAGGTGTTGAACAGAAGTTGCAGCCATACATAAAAATATCACCACTAAATGGATTAAAACATCCGTTTTTCAAATGTATGGATGTTCCCCTCGTTATCTTGCTTTGTTTATGTATGAATGTCTCTGTCTTCAGGTTGTATAAGAAAACCAGTAAACTCAAGAATACGTCCTCTTGCTGATGGAGATTTTACTACCTTCTTGTGTTTTTGCTGCTGATGAAGACAAATATCGTGTTGATGGTATATTGTCAACCCTGATTTGTTGACTTTCCAGCCTGTAATGCAATACCTAAGGTGCTAAAACTCAGTGGCACAACAAAATATACAGATATTTTCCAGGAAGTGGTTTCCTCCCAGTAGTCCCCCAGCTGTTTTAGCACATGTCAGCACATCATGGTGATGCAAAGACGCTGCAGGGGAATTTATGATGCCCCTGTGCTGATTATGATTTAATGATCACGGTGTCGAGTTTCTAATAAATGGACAAATATCTCCAATTAATTGAACTGAATTGTTGAAGGGGAAAGTGCCTTTGTAATGTGCATTTGAATGATAGGAGAGAAAAAAAAAGGAAAATATGTGTTTGAAGCTCTGCAGTGGAAATTCCACATTTTCTAATGTGTATGACCCTTGGATACTAAGCTAAAAAGACTAAAAAAAGGGATTGATGGCAACTTTGACATTTTGTAAATGTGGAACTTTTGGACTCTAGAAACTGTGAAATATGTTGCATTTAGTGATAAAGCTTTAAGCAAAAACTTAGAAAACAGCACCTTGAAACACCCTCTGTAGTGACATATAGTTAATTTGGTTGATAATGCAAATATTGTCCAAATTTGTGGAATTAAGATAGATATTGGACATGTTTGGTGGTAAACTGCAAATAAAGTGAGTAATCTATAGTTTAGCTCAGGTTACCCACTGTTTTTGACAACAACCCACAGAGCTGGAGTTGAAGATAACTTATGTTCCTATAAAGATTCACGACTTCTCTCAGGTCTACAGCATAAAACGATTAGAAACCTTCCATTCATTTACCTCATTTTGTTCTGGCCTCTTTCTCCTGTGCTCAGCCTTGTTCTCTCTAATCCTATGAGACATAACTGCAGTTGACTGTAATAAGGGACTGCAGGGAAGGGCACTGAATACCAAGATGGCTAAGCCACACAGCCCACAGTACATTTCGATCCAGCCCTCCCATGACTGGGCAGACAGCTCCTGCTGGGCTGTAGAATGATCGTGTAGCAGTGTATTAGTGGACAAACGCTATTACTGAACATCTGTCGGCATGCAGCTGATGGGACCAGAATTTTAATATGCTGCACATGAAAAGGTCTGATTGCAAAGTTTGGACTCGAGCACAAGTAACATGAGTAACAAGCGTGAGTAACCAAAGAGACTCGAGGGAAAATGACTTGTCCTTGCGTTCCTCATGTAGCCTAATGAGCAATCAATACCTGTGGAGACTGCAGAACATTTATCTTTTGCTTTGAACCAATCTGAATTACTTTCCTTCTCCTTCAGCAGATGCAGTATCTGAAATCATTTCCCCTCATTCCCATGCTGCAATGTTTTTCAGCTGGCCTTGTGCTCTCCAAATCAGTAATTATAGCAGACTATGTTTAGATAAACTCAACCTGAATATTACTGCTATGCTTTCTCAATTTCATATCCCACTCTCAAGCGTTTTAGACTTCTCTTTCAGTCTGCAGACTTGCAAGATACCTAATAGATTTTTCGAATGGCAAACAAAGTTATTTACAGCAAACCTCTGAAATAACTTAAATTACGTAATACTCTTAAACATCAGTTTAATTGTACTGTAGAGTACAACTCAGCCTGCGACGACAGATGAAGAATGTCTTTTGTAGCTTTTTAAGGTCTGAGAAAATGACACTGATGATGCCATTGTGTGGAGATAATGATGTCATCAGGGGCAGTCTGTGTTAAGACCTTGTGGGTTGAGTTTGAAAGACCTGAGAATTTTACAAACTGGGGGTCTGCTTTAAATTGCATACTAACACAATATTTTGTACGCCAGAAATGACCAGATGTTATATTAGCAAGAATTTGGGAGTGTGAAACGTCAGCTTAGTAGACATAATCAACCGCTCCAAATTGCATTGCGACTCCTCAAACTGTCCAATGACCTTTTTAAAACAATTAACTCTTGGATACATATATTCAACACAAACATATTGAATGATTTGAATTTGCCCTTAAAATAATACTGGAAAATATTGAATTGAGTGGAAGTGGTCATTTGAATTTACAATTGCGATAAACAATTTTCATTCAACAGTAGCGTGGACCGGTACAGTCGTGCTGATACTGTCATGTGATGTAGAGATGATTTATTGCTTGAGTATACTTCAGTGTGAACAGTCTGCTGGTAATGGCGTACTTGAAATTGGAATGGAATTTTGAACACAGTCAGAGTCTAACTGAAGATTATTGTGTTGCATTATGGGAATTGTAGTGTTTTGTTGGAGCTTGACCCTCACTATGGACTACAACTCAGGATATCTTGGCTTCTGCTGAATCAATTTAAGCGTTTTAAAGAAAAATCTCTTATCTCTTGTGAGAGTTACCCAATGCTACATTGACAAAGAATCCCTTTAAAAGCAGCTTCTAATGAATAAAGAAAGAAAACATGTGAAGTCAACAATCGGTATACCTTATGCCCTATAAGGATAACAATTAGTTGTTTTTAATTTTTACATTAATATGGCTGTCCTCAACCTTAGTCGAATAACACTCATACGATTTTGTGAACTAATCGATAAGTTGATTTCATTGACAGATCTGTAAAACTGAGTTTCTCCACCAAGAAACACACAGATGTACCACTTTGAATATTGTGTTTGCCAGAGATGTGAGCCTAAGTTTCTTGGAAATGAGTCATCCAGATGGAAAAAGAAGCATAAAAAAATGACCAATCAACTAAAGAGATCTTAGTCGACTAGGGCCAAAAGACCAATTAGTCGACTAATCTTCAAAGAGGGGACAGCCCTAGACATTAGGCCACAGACCCTAATAATACAGGCCAATTTGTAAAAAAGATGAATAGGTTAATCATACAAATAAATACACACGCTGGTGCTGTGATTTGCTATGTAAAAAAAATAACTCAAGTCTTAACATAATGATGAACAAAAATAAGCTATTTATTCGTGTACTCCCGTCGAAAGACTATCCCAGAACTTACTTACTAAAGACATCAATGTTACACAGGGCACACCAGCTATACCTAAAGTGCCATTTCTGCCTTTAAACTGTCCCGAAAACTGAAACCGAGACTGTGCGTCAAAAAAAAAAGCGAGTTTGGGTACATTAATCCTTCACTGCATTACCAGATGACACGTGTAAAGGCTCTTAAAGCATACAAAGAGTCCTTGTATGACCGATGGTACAGCGACGTCAGTGTCTCTCCCGGCACTGAGCGGAGTTGGTCGGGGCCAGCAGCAACGTCACTCCCTGACGGCGGCATCAGAGCAGCACGCACCGGGCCATCCGCGCAGCAGCGAGTCGCTCCGGAACTCGGCGGAGGAAAACTGCGTTGCTCAACGGCTCTGCGTTTTGGGAACTGCCTGGGCGGGCTGAGACTCCCCCGCTATTATAGCTCAGGTAAACCGAAGTTTTATTCATGTCGAGGACAGTTTTATGTGTGTTTTTGTCGTTACAAGGAACAGCGTGGGTGCCAAAACGTTGCGAGTACAAGGACTAAGCAAGCTCCGCGCACGGTAGCTGTTTGTACTGTAGCCATACACTGTGTGTTGCTATGGTACTGCCAGGCAACGTCCCACCTGCTGCTGCGACTCTTGCTTCTTCACTCCTGTCAACCAAAACAAATGTGAAAACATGGAAACGGAGCGCTCCTTCATATGTGTTAATTCAGCCATTCATTTGCCATGAATTCATGTGTGCGTGCGTATGTGTTTTCAGCTGCGCTGTTTTCTCCGAGCCAACTGTTTTTCACAAGACTTGCATGGAGTCGATCGTTCTTCAGACTTAGGCTAGAGTCATTTACATTGTGATTATTCACAGCAGTTGACTTGGATAACAGACATTACCAACACTCCACCCTGTGCCCTGTCTGTAGGATATATTCAGCTGCTTTGGCAAACAGTTTTTCCAGTCAAGTGCCCATGTGTCTGTGGCTCTAGGTGACCACACACTCCATTTCCACTAGAACACAGTAAATGCTTGTCATTCCCTTTGTGACTGCTGTCTGTCTGTTTACTTTCATAGTGTCTAAGTAACACCCAGGACCACAAGGCTTGAGCAAACACAAGATGGTGATTACCAGTGTGGCATCTCTCAGAAGGACATCACTGGCCATGGACACAGAGAACAGATGTTTGCAGTGAAGGTGCCTAGTGCCTAGTTTCCTATTTCGTGGCTTAGACAGCTGCAGCGGTTAGGCGTCGGTGCATGCCAGCGCTAGGCTGGTGGTACAAAGAAATTCCATTATCCCTCATCTCCTCTCTGCTGTGACAGAGAGGAGGAAATCACCATGCCATGCTGTTGTGAGGCCAGGAAGAAGGAGGGGGGAATTATGAGTCAGAATGGAGAAGAAAAGAAAACTGTCACTCTTGAAATCCGCCTCTAAGCTTGGTAGACAGCACACACACTTATTTTAAGACCACGACCAGATCCTTTTTCAGCTGGCATCTAGAACTGTAGAACTACGTGGAGACCTTGCTTCTATTTTGGCCTTCCATCAATTATTGCTGAAACCTTTTTTTACCTTTTCTTATGTCTGTATACATTCCAGGGAGTAGAGTTAACGCGTTGAATGCAAAGTGCAGCGGGGTGCATCCAAGGCGAGCTCTGTTCATTGTATTTTAGTGAACACGCATCCTTATCTCAGCTGTCAAGAGGGAGGATTCTTTTCTACAGTTACTTACTCTGAGCAATAGAGATAGTGGTGGGAAAGGAGGAGTGAGAAGAACAGAGGATGACTGTGAGGGAGTGAACGTGCTTAACCCAGCCACTGAGTGACTCTTGTTTCCAAGGACGAAGGTAGCAACGCATCCAAACGCCACTCTGCGCCCACGGACTCCTGTGGAGATATGAGGCGCACACATAGGCACTCAGCAGCGCTCATATAGACTTAAGAACCTACCGGCCCTTCTTCACAGGGCCCCTGGGGTCTGACTTGCCTTTTCTGGAGTGCCGGAGCTGATGACTGAGCGGATCATGACAGCAGCTAGAGGGAACTACACAGAATGTTAGACTCGTTTAGCTTGAAAGGGAGTTTCCTGATCTTATTTCACCGGTGTCTTTGCACCTAAACTGGCCCACTTTTGTGTATGTTTTTGGCCGAGGAGCAGGCTGGAGAGGAGGTAGTAACAGGTGCTGCGTGCCAAGGTGGACGTGGAGGTGTGGAGGAGAGCTGAAGATCATGGGTAAATCAAACAGCAAGCTTAAGCCAGAGGTGGTGGAGGAGTTGACAAGGAAAACCTACTGTGAGTACCTTCACGTCTTTTTCTTTTTGCTTGCCTTTGCTTGACACAAACTCTTTTTTTAGCTGGCCTGTATGAGAATAAAAAAACATTCTGGCCAAACGTAAAAGACTATATATTGTGTGAGGAATCCCTAAGTTTAATAATCCTATTTTCCACCCTGTTCCATATAGGCTGTATGGTATATAACGCTGCCTGCTGGGATATAATGGGATTCTAAACCAGTTTCTCGTTGTCGAGAAAACAGAGCTACAACTACATGTCAGCTGGGAATAAGCTCCACCTTTTATTTCAATTTACATTTAAATGTTTTGTTGCGAATTTTGATTGGTTAAGGTCTGGCAGAAGTTGCAATCAGCATCTTTAAATCATGCTGAAGGGATATATGAATATGGAGTTGCTTAGTTTGTTAGCGGCTATCGGAGGGGGGGGGGTGTTTGAGATGAGGATGTGGGTTCATGCGCTGATCATGGATCCTCTGTATTATGTGAATGCAGAGATAGATAGATAGATAGATAGGATATATAAACAGTCTCAAGTGAAATGGTGTGATCGGATCTGCAACATTGCAAGTCCACGGATTTGTGTTGTTCTTGTCGACTTGTCAGGACATTGCAAATTAACAGCATTTGCTTTTCTCACCTTGCTAGCACTAATTCAGTTGACGATCCTTTGCTTAACAAAAGAAATATTTCCTTCCCCCACCGTTTTCCATCAAATTTGAGCAGAGATCACATTTGTACTTACCACAATGATGTCTGCTCGTAAGACACTATATTTATCATTTGTGTGTTATTTCTGGCGTGCAGAATTATTATTATTATTTGAGCAGTACAGTGTGCAGGTGTGGGTGGGAGTTGACATTCATTGGCTGCCTAATGACAGTGTTATTTGTGTGATGGGTCTCTCCACAGCAGAACCATGGAAGACTGTTGTGGCAGGAAATTGCTGTGGAGGAAGATTGGGCTTCGTGCTGGGCTGGGCTGCTTGCTACTGTCCTCTACTCCCTCTCTCACTCTCTCACCCTTTTGCCCAGTCTTCTTCGCTTTATCCCCTAATTGCCCTCTTTGAGCTGGGAATGGAATAGTATAATTAGTATGTTATCTGGTTAGCATCACTGAGAGGGGCACCAAGCTTCTCTCCCAGCATGATCATTCTCCCTTTCTCTGTCGTTGCCTGACTTGAGACTCTATCATTTCTGCTTCCCTTCATTCTCTTGCCTCTTTCTCTTTCTCTCCCATGAGAAGCTTTTTCTGCCATTGTAGTCTGCGCTTACCTACTCTTCTTGACAGATTGGGGACTACGTACATTTCTCTGTGCCTATGTGTCTTTTTCTTTCTTTCAGTGGAAGAAGAGTTTGGGTGTTTTTTTTTTTTCCCCAGCAAATTATGCCGTCTGTGTTGACAGGCAGCTGACAAGGCCAGGCCCCGAAATAAGACCTGTTCAGTTCATAAGATGTCTGCCTTCCGCTTTGTTGTAGGTTTGAAAACGTATCCTCTTCAGAAGAACAATTTTATGACTTTGTATTTCAGATAAAACCCTTTCTGGCCAAAGACAACATTGAGCTGTACCAAGGCTCCGGCTAGCTGCTGTTTTTCATGTTCTTAGTGAAAACTGTGAAAAATGGTTGCAGCCTCACTTGTACTTAATTCAAACCTGAAAGCTTTCTGTTCTGGCGTCACACGGAAATGCCAGCAGTCCTACTAAAATGTCTGCAGGATGTTGGCTAGGTCCATGTGATGGCAGGAGGATTTTGTAAGTTGTCAAAGCAGTGAAGAGAATCACAGTGAGCAGTGTTGCAGAGTGGATGTGTTCTTGCAGACCCTGCAGGATCAACCAGCAGAGTTTGCCCCGCACTCTCCTGCAATGCTCGGATTGTATTATTGCCCATCGCTTCCGACTTACTTATGTAATAAAATATTTTATTAACTCGAAGCCATGAAAAATGGCCTCAATTTTTGACTACATTGACTTTTGTGGCCAATTTAATGGTAGCTTGGCTTGGTTGACAGTCATGAGATTGACCCTGACATTCATTGCCCAGGAAATGGTCACATGATGGGTTTTCTTGGTGAAATGATGAGCAGAACAAATTCAGGCCGAGATATATGCAGGCGAGGGCTACCTGACCTGGTCTTCTCATCGATAGCCTCTGTATGATTCTGCTCCAGCGCTGCAGTAGTCACATTAGGGAATACACATGTGGATTTCATGGCAAAGAACATATTTGTTGTTAGTATATATTTTCATTTCCTGACCAGTCTTGATGTTTGATAATGCCACAGTTTAATTACCTAAAATGTTTTATTTGTAACAAGCGCATGACATGAAGCTCCCTTTGGTTCCTCTGGTTGTATACCTTTGCAGTAACCATGACTATGAGCTGCTCCAGATTAAACATTACAGTAGAAGACATTATCGATTAACTAACTAGCTGTTTATTGTACAAATGAGGCTATTGCTTTGCCCCAGGCTTAACAGAAGCGGTACAATAGTAGTCAGCATCTATCCTCAGACTTAACGTGGTATGAATTCAGAAAGTCTCTCTCAACCTGGTTCAACTAATGCTATTGATTTTCAGACCTTGTTTTCATTAGCTATCCCAGGTGCCGAGAGGCTGAAAATTGCTGTGGTTACTTGAGAAAAAGTACAGAGTCAAGGGAAAGCCATAAGGGATTGGTTGATTAGATACTGGCAGAGAATGGTGTTTGTGTGGGAATGATAACACATCCTGCCTCCTAAACTCTTCTCTATGGCTGACCTTCATTCCCTCAGTCTTGTTTTATCTTTCCGTGGCTCCCCGGAGGTTTACTCCTACTTGTCCTCTACTATCCTGGCCAGCAGATATCATTAGTCGTCTCCTCTGATCGTATGCTAGAATCGATGAATTGAAAACATTGCAATTGCATGTTGACACTGTTGAGTGTGAATGTGTGAGAGGATTGGGCCATAATGATTAACGATGCAACTACTTGGCTCCTCTAACGGCATGCTACTTTTTTTTTTATAGGACAGCCAAAGTTTTGCTTTTAAGCTAATGTCACTCTTTTTTTTCTCTTACAGTTACAGAGAAAGAGGTGCAGCAGTGGTAAGTGTGTGCACTCATTTCTAATTCGATGTGTTTTCCATTCGTGATGTGAAGCTAGTCATATATTAGCTATTGTGTTTTTAGTGGCAAACTTAACAGGAATCAGAGGTGGGGGTCTTTTCTTGTCTAAAAACTTGCAAAACCCACGTTGACATACTTGGTTCCTTGAGTCCATGGATATTGTATTAACATTTGGTTTCATGGTTGATTTAAAGCCATCTCTCTAACTCTACCCTGAAGACAGATGCGTTCTGAAAATAGAGTGATTTGGAAGCATTACTGAGACTGAATGACTTTGAAGGCTGATAACACTGATGCAAACATATCCACAATGCATTCCTCAACCTCTCTTCATCTAAATGCAAAAAAGGATGTCTGACAACAAAAGAATGGCCGGATGCATAAGGTTGTTTCACTTTCAGGCACTTAATCACTACATGGCCACAGCGCCGCCATAAGGTTGCCAATTAGTAATCCTCCCTGTCGGATTCTGTACCTATTATTCAGTGTGACCTGCACCGGCATCATCTTGCAGAGGTCTCACCTTTTGTCTGATCCCAGCCTGAACTCCCAGCGCTCTAACACGTACTTACATACATCAAAATGAAACGTATTCATGAAAGCGAGACGCCTCAGACCATGATAAGTTGCAGAACTGAGGTGAGAGGGATCATTACTGCTAAGATGTGAATTTCTGAATGTCTTTCTGAAGGCACAATTTTAAAGTCGCTGGCACACTGACAAGAGACAATGCATCTTCATTTACAGAGACGATTCGAGCATGAGCGTCGTCATCGCCTGTGTTTGCTGCATGCGGTTTCTTTGGAAATTAAAAGCAAAGAATAGTGTATATCAGAGGAGGGAGTGCTGCAATAAAGCGATCACTCTTCCATGTTCACACTTCAGTTCTCCTGCTTTGGTTTTGCATTTTATGGCCTAATTCTGCATGCATGAAAAGAGCTTTGTCTCCGGAGCTAGTCACTGTCTTTGTCCCCTGTTAGGGTGTTGAATGTTTACGTGGGCAAGGAGCCACCTTCGCAGCCATTCAGCAGCAGCAGCAGCAGCAGCAGCAGTAGTAGCTGCAGCATTAGATATCCCTGAGCATCGGCAGGTCAAGAGCCTCCAAGGTGGCCTGTCTCTGGGGCTGACTGAGTGCACTGGGGCGGAATACCCCCCACCTCCCTTAAACCTCCACCCCTCCTCCGGCTGTGCAGCCAGCTAACTCACCATCACTCACGCTGTCTTTCACAGCAAAGATTGCATGAGTACTCACTTGAAGATCAGCAGCAATCAACACGGCTGAGTGTGAGGGATGAAAGGGAATTTTACCAGGGGAAATGCCAGATGGCGTGTAATTAGAGCACAGACATAGAAGAATTAGCGGGGTTAGATAAATGCCCGTGTTGTGCATTCAATTTGTCCCCCTTTCTAATTCTCCTCTGAGGAAACATCATTACTATGCTCGAGGCTCACCTGAAATCAATAACAAAATGCCATAGCTCAGTGAGGTCCCTGCCAGAAAAGGCAGTAGCAAGAGAGACTTCCTGCGCAACTCTTTAGCAAACCACCATGGCAGATGCCAATGAGTAGGTTGCCAGTGCCAGTAATACATACTTCATGCTAATCTTCATGCTGGCCCCCCACTGTGGTCTGATGCACGATGTCACGTCTGCTATGTTCCTGCAAGTACAGTGTGTAGTTGAACTATTGCACTACTTAGAGTTCAGTGTGTATGTGTCTTAGCACCAGTGTCACTAAGTCAGATTTCTTGAACATGGTGTGTTCTTGGCAAATGAAGGTGATTCTGATTATGACTCTGATGAATAGCTGACACTGGGCAAACATGTTTACATGAGGGCAGTAGCTTTGTACTCTAGATGTGTCTCCTGCTTATGTAACTCCACTGGTAGTATGTTAAATGTGGTAGTCAGCCTGACATGTTTATTACTGTATGCCCAATAAACCACATTCATTCGACCATCGACTGGCTGATGAGGGAAAATAAGTATCCGAGTCAAAACTCAGTGCGCATATTGAAGAATTTGACTGGAGCCCTAGCCCCATATTGAGATTTGGGGTCGGTGAGTCTAGTTACATTGTGGGTAATGTATGCGCCAGGTTTTGAGAAGTAGGAAGAATGTGTGGAATCACTTTTTTTAAAAGTCTCCATCGGGAGTCTGACAGATATAGAAGTGCAATGCGAAAATGATGAGCTCTCTTTCATCATTTTTAAGTCCTTAAGGGGGTCTTAAATTAGACTAATATTCAGGCACTCTCAGGCAAGGAAAAAAGTCATATAAAAGAGGAAAATTAAGTGATCTAGTATTGAACCATAATGTTCTATGCCGCATAAGAAGCAGATTAAAAAGCGGTCATAATCAAAGCAGCAGAGGCCAAGATTTCCTTTTTTTGTCTTTTTAACCTGAACATTTACCATTATGCAACTCAAGAGTGTCGGCCATAGACCTAAATGCCCACTCCCAGTGTCACTCCTCATGACAAGTTAAAAAAAATGTGCTGATATTTGACCCACCTGAAAGTATTGAATAAGACAAAGATAGCCTGTCCTCGTAAACCTAAAAGTTAACAGCTAGAAGTAATGAATTTGGATCAATATTCACTGTGACTGTACCTGCGACACAAAGAATGTCTTTAAATACCATATAGATACACTGTTCTGTTTTTTCAGTAAACAATCCATACTCTATATCTGTGCTATACAGTATGTTACAGTAGCCTTTTATGTTGGTTGCTGGATATAATATTCCATAGTGGCACATTAAAATGACTGAAGAATTCAGGTGAAATGGGTGTGCGTTGGATTATTATATGCATTGCGTGCTCTGCACTTTGAATACCAATTAGATTGTATTATGCATTGTAGTGGTTAAGGCTTTAATTTTACAGCATATCTTCAGATAATACAAATGTGGCAATCGGATGGTTTTGCTTTCTTCTTGCTGAACTTTTTCTCAGCTTCTCCTCAAAGCGTCTCTCCATCTCTTTAACTATTTGGAGCTGGCTTCATTATCTCCAAGGCAGATTAAAAGTAAAGCATTTTAAGAGGAGTGAGGAGCCAGAGAGTGAGTGGAAAAGATCTCTCCTGGCCTTCATTCCTCATCAGAGCAGTCTGTCTCTCTTTCTCACTGGCCGTAATTACAGCCCAGCCTTATTCTGAATCAGAGACGAACATGCAGTGCTCCCTTGTGTGAACGTGCGTCATTTTTGCCGTTGATCAAGAGCAAAAGCTTTTTGCAATTCTTTTTATAAATAGAGTGTTATTATGTCTCTGCTATTTCCTCCTACTTCTCATCTAGCATTTATTTTTCTAAAGGCTTCCTAGCTCACTTCCTAGCTCCCTGACCTGTTACAGTCTAGTTAGACTTTGTGGCTGCTGTGTTCCTTTTATGAAGACATACAAGGAAACTGCCTACGTCTGAGTGACTGCGCTTGAAATTGCTTATGAGATGCTTCTATATATAGGCTAATAAAGGTATTAAGTCACTCTCTAGATGTGTCATTTCTAGGGGCAAGAGGAAGCTCACAGACTTATCCATCAGCCTAGCATATTATCAAAAGAGACTAGAGAGTAATTTGATTAGAGTTAACCACTCGTGGCTTGCTATTAGATTAGGGCGATTGTTTTATCTGTGAATGAGGCGAATAGCTTTGCCCTTTACCTTGTTGATCTTGCATGCTGTAGAGGTGACTTCAGTCTGTCATTGTTTTCCAGTCTTGTCTTGATTATGTATTCTTATCCCATTATTAATGCTATTTTAACAATCTAAATACTCTATCTGTGCTTTATTTTGCAGGTACAAAGGCTTCATTAAAGATTGTCCCAGTGGGCAGCTGGATGCCGTGGGCTTTCAGAAGATATATAAGCAGTTTTTTCCTTTTGGAGATCCCACAAAGTTTGCCTCCTTTGTCTTCAATGTCTTTGATGAAAATAAGGTTTGTAATCAATTTCGTATGTTTAATTGTCCTATGACTAGGCAGAACAAATATTATAATAATAATAATAATAATACAATATAATTTTAAATGAAAATAGTCAATTGACTTTGTTACTTTGTAAAATGACAAAGAAATAGTTTGACAGTGGCCTTTTGTCTGGCATTGCTGCTAGATAAGTAATATGATGTTAAAAGCGACAGAGGATGGAGCTAATCTATTTATCTCAGCCAGGGGTTACACAGAATAGCAGAGCAACGTGGTATAGGGATCCTATTAATGTTTCTGCTTTTATTATTCCATAGCCCTTTTTGCTTTTTTGAAAGAAGGAAATTGCCTGCTATCAGGTTCGTATACAGAAAATGATTTATTCAATCTCTTTTGAATGAAAGCTGTTTCAGACATTTAAACTGTATTGAAATTCTTCGCCAAAGTGTTACAGTAAACGGACATGTTGGACATTCCATGTTTAGTAAACTGTGTTTAGAGGAGTGGTCAAATTTACAGAAGGATTACACGGCTTTTGTGGCCGCTAAACCTGCACATGACAGAAAGAAGCTGTGTCATTTTTAAAAGAACCCGCAAACGGTGAAATGTACCCGTAACTGTGCAGCCAAGCAAATAGCGTCTCAGTGCTCCTTTGCTATATACACTTGTTTAAATTTGGTAAAATGCATATTTGGCACATAATTGGCCCCTTTCTATGCAAATGAGCCTCAAAAGGCTAAATGATTGCCATATTTTTGTGCCTGTATTTTTTTTATTGCCTGTAAGGTTAGTAGACAAAACCCTATTATATTTCTCAAGTGTTAAATAATTTTTACATCAAAACACTTCATAGATCTTTTGAAATAATTCTCTGCTCACAAATTGTCAGTCAGTATTTCAACAGCGCAAATGATTCAGTCCCATAAAAAAGATGAGTCATTACATTAATAGTAACACATAATCGTAACTCTTAGTTTTGTGCCAGAAATCAGTTTCCAAGAGTGTACATGCATGTTTTTTTTTTTTGTTTTTTTTTTAATGAAATCCTGTCTCTCTTATGTGGGTGCATCTTCTAAGGATTTGAAGATATGATGAGAAAGCATGTTTGAATGAGGCCTGTTAAAACTGTTAAAAGCAACATTTGTATGGAGTAATCCACCCCATTGCAGCTGTACGAGATTATTCAAATTGTGTTTAGGAAGACAAACTATGGATGAACAGCTCCTGGGATGGTGGTGAGCGCCTGGAGGTTTATTGACTCAGTTAAGAGGCTTTGTGTCAGGAAGATCAGACAACCCCTCCGTCTCATGTTTATCTGTAACCTTCATTAGCATTAGGCACCCCGTAGTTAGTGAATGCATTGATCTTAACTGTATTTATGACTTATATAATCAGCAATGCATGACTTTAGCATTGTCTGGCTGGTCAGATGTCTTGTAGATAAAGATAAATTTGGCTGACCCCAGGGCCATGAAGAGCTCTCGTCTGTCTTCTGTAAGTAGAGCTGTGGTTGACCGTTACAGGTAGGCAGCTGCTGTAGCAGAATGTCGGAAAAACCTTTTTGATGCAACACAATCCTTTAATATCTGATGAACTGACCAAAGCCTGAAGGCTCCACTACCAGGGCGTCGCTTTATAACCATTTCTTGTTGTCCAGAAGCTGTTGTTTTCGCTGTGCCAATGGCACGTCTTTCATGCAGAGCCTCTTAAGCATTTAATTTGAGCATGTCTCATGCAGTTGATGATGGCTGGAGGTCATAACTTGGTGAGTCGGTCTGAATTGGCAGCGTTTGACCCACTTCAAGCCTTTCTTTATCCATGTTTGCAGACATTTCTCTCTGCCGCACAGAGTGTGGCCTCACAGAGGAACGCTGAAGGCCACAATTTTGGGAGGGTAATTGGAAATTTCGAGCTGCTGTGGTTATATGCAGAGCATGAGATTCTAACAAAGCTAAGAGGAAAAGAAGAGTGTTTTCTACCTTGTCAGACAGAATTATCTGCCATCCCCATTCCCGATGTGGAATCGTTGAGAAAATGTGAAACATTAGTTCATTAATTCACAGTGGTTGTTTGTGTGCTGTAACTTTTGGACGATGAGCCAGTCGCATCCATCTCACTAATGACCAGAGGGGACATGTTTCTGCCTCAGGAGCGAGCCAGGTGTAAGGCTAAAATAGCAGCTGACGTGGAGCAAATGTCTGGCCCCGTTTTTCAGAAGAATACAGCAAGGACTTCATGAAAGAACAGCAAGGAAATCATGAAAGAACTACAGCAAGTGTGAAGCAAGATCCTCATCTTGTCTCTGGGCCATTTTCTCTCTCTCTCTCCCTCCTTTTTTCTCACTGTAGGATGGACGCATCGAGTTCTCTGAGTTCATCCAGGCCTTGTCAGTGACTTCCCGTGGGACTCTTGATGAAAAGTTGAGATGTAAGAAGAGATGTTTTTGACATTTAATTGACAGGATTTGCTAAACAGCAAATAGGAGATTATTATGAATATACAGTAGGCATGAAACCTGGGGGTCAATATGTTGCCAACCTTTTTCTGAAAATACAACACCAGAGAAAACTTGCAACTTTAGCTGTAACCATAAGTTTTAAACCTGAAACAAAGTGTATTCAAATATGCAATTACTGCTGTCACTTTTGAACTGGTAACCACCAAACTTCACTCAGTTTTCACCACTTCCGAAGTCAATTTGAACATGTGTGCTTTGTAATCCATGAAAAATATATAATTTAATGAAGTCACAGTAGCTTCCTGATCACAGTATGTGCTCAACTACCAAAATGTATTGTAACATCTTTCTCTATACAGGGGCTTTTAAACTCTATGACCTTGATAATGATGGCTACATCACCCGAGATGAGATGTTGAACATCGTAGATGCCATTTATCAGATGGTGGTAAGTTTTACCAGACATCAGACATATAAATGAGAATTGTTTGAATGGTACAAAGTGTAATGAGTTGATATTGCAGGGGAACACCGTTGAGCTGCCAGAAGAAGAAAACACACCAGAAAAGCGAGTGGACCGCATCTTTGCAATGATGGACAAGGTTAGTGTTTTATTATTTATAAGGCTTTTATACGAGCAGCAGGAGAATGACAGGAAGTGGGGGGAGAGAGTTGGGATGACACGCAGTATAGTGTCATGATTTAAACTGGGCCGTTGTCAAGGACTCAGCCTAAATTGGGCGCCCTCTCCCAGGTGAGCTAGAGGTCACCCTAACATTAGTATTTTAATATCAAAATAATATCAACAGACTGATGTGATAGAAAGTGATAATGCCCAAGTTTCTGTACCATTTGATGTTGCTATAGTATAACATCAAAGTTTAACTGACACTGATACAAAGTGCAGCAATGATTATTAGTTTACCTTTAAGAGGACTGAGTCTGCCTTTGTTGCCACCCTCAGGGCTTTGACATGGACACTGTTAAGTTTAGAGCTGTTAGCTGCGACCATCACAGCGTCACTAACACCGCCTGCAGTCTATAAACATCATATATATAGTCTCCTCCACCACTAGCCCTCGGTGCTAATGCCTTTCCCCGCAGCTCCAAGAATCTACTCAGCTTTAGTGAAAGATGAGATGCAGCCTGCATGGGTGTGTTTGTCAGCCCACCACTGCCAAGATCAGACCGTTGGTCTAGCTGTGCAGCACAGCAGCACTTAGTGATTTGTATTGGCAGAGAGTGGCTACCATCCAAGTGCACTGAACCAAAGATCAGTATAGAACAGGAGTAACATGATTTAGCTTTAGAGCCTGTTTTGCCCCCTGCTGGTAACTCCGTATTAAAGCATTGAGGGGCTTCAGTTTCATCTTGTCTCATGTTCCTCTTCCAGAATGCAGATGGGAAGCTGACTCTGCAGGAGTTTCAGGAGGGTTCAAAGGCAGACCCTTCTATTGTTCAGGCATTGTCTCTCTATGATGGACTTGTATAGGAATGTAAGGTGAGTGGGTATTAATGAGCTAGTACATGCATGCTTCTCTGCTTGGGCAATTTTCAATCCCAGGTCATGCTTCAACTCAAGATAATACTGTCTAATTCTTAGTTCATCAGAGGAAAGAATAAAAAAGGAAAATTCAGTCTGTGGGCTGTAACCAAAGTGAAGAAACCACTTTCTGCTCACAGTTTGTTTCTATGAATTATTCAAATGGCCCACTTGTTTGCTGGCAATCAACTAGTCTTGGAGTGCTGAGTGAAGAGCGAAAAAGCTCTCACTGCTTAATGTAATGCACCGGCCACTGCCAATTGTTGCTGACATCCTGCTCAGCGTTTTGTCAACTGCGAAGTGAGCTCGCAAAGACATATTTTAGTCATGCAGTAGCTCTGTTAGGGGATTTATCTTGCATGAACACACCCACGTGTCATGACACCACTTACTGTCATCTATTCAGTGGTGATCATTCTTATGACTTCTCAGATGGATCCATCTCTGCATCCACACGCCAATCCAACACCATCACACCTGCCAGGGGAGGAAGCCACATTTAACTCGCTTCACCCAGATGTGGACTACAAACTTTTTGTTGCACGGCCGTACGGCATTCGTGTCAAGTAGCTGTTAATCTACATTTCCTGTTCGGATTATAAACAAATATATCCTCTGATGTGACGAAGAAGTCGAACATGTCAGCAAAGCCCTCATTTATCCGTGCTTCACTTGGCGCCGCGTACACCCTTGAGTGTTGTGGACTGTGTCCGAGCATTTCTGCAAACGCAGTGTTGTGGTTTCCCCATGGACAGTCGAAGGGACTGAATTCCCCCTGAGATGTTCGCGTGTGCGTCTTGATCACATATTGTAAACCAGGGATGCACATAAACCGCTCAGAGGAACTGTGCTGCTGCTTCACCACCAGATGCAGAGACTCTAAACCCGGGAGAATCTGGAAAAATGTGTGACTTGGTGATAATGTGAACTCTAATTTAAAGTTACGAAGCAGTATAGTGTACATTGTATAATGTAAATAGAATGGTAATTTATTTTCTGCTTTGCTGCGTTTATGGGACTTTCCTCATAAGAACGGAATGAAGTTTTATTTTTTAATCAAAAGTGTTCAAATGTATTGCACTGTATTTGTCCTTATTGTGGGATTGTTTTGTTCTCACATGCTGAGGTTTCCTTTTCCTGAGAGAACAGGTTTTTATTTGAAGAAGAGTGTTGAAGGAGCCGGGAGTCTTCTATGGATCATTTTACTATGTTTGCACTCTCTGCATCCTATTGTGTCTTCACTTCCACGTTAGCACTAGCGTCTAGTGTTGCACATCTTGAACGACATGACCAAGCAACACAGCGAATTCTCACAGCTTGCATCTGAACCGAGGCTCATTATTTCTTTTGAGAGCATCGATCTCCACCCTCAGTCAGCACACACACAAGGCCCTGGTCATTGAGAGGCACAAACAGACATCAATTCTGCTTGTAAAACATTTTTACGAGCTCTGTGGTTGCAATTGTTCACTTTTTTTTTTTTGTCCTGTGTGAGGCCAAAGCATGTGATGCCATTTCTTTCAGTCTTGAATTGTTTTAGTTTCAGCATTGAGATGTTTTATCAGCTTCACTGATTTTATGCCTTATGCAAATGATAATTTACTGAATGATAAATGTAATTTACCTGTTGATTAACAGTATAAGAGCACAGAATAAAATGCATTTAAGTGGCAAGCTTTTCTATTACTGCATTCTTGGTCTTTGTACTTATTGTATTGATTAAAAAAAGACTAATATGGTTTATATATCACTTCTCAAGACAACAATCGCACACCTGGTTGCATAGTATTCATAAAAGATGATCCCTCCAGGATTGCACAGAGTTGCTTCACTAATATAGAATACTGTCTTGTTGAGTGTGTGTGTCATACTTTAAAAAAACAGCATCTTAAATTCGTTCTTTGATGTAAGTCTGCACTTTTTGTTGTGTAATGAAGTGCAAAAAAACAGTGATGTCTTGGCATTGATTGGTGGGTTAATGAGGCTCAGTGGCTTTTGTGTAGAAGCCTCTGGGTCTCTCTGCTCACTGGGCCTGCTCAGACCTGCTTTCTGTTTTCTACTCAAGGACGGATTCAAGTGATATCAAGAGGAGGAGGTCAGGAGGGTCCAGAGCTTTGATCCGAGACTGCTCTGTCCCTTGGGTACATCTTTGATTCACTTTGTATTTGAAAGAAGTAATATCTGTTTACTTATTGCAGCAAATGGAGAAGTTTTGAAGTTAACATCCATCTTCTAATCTCAAATACTCTGGGGCCCCTGCCACTTAAACTTTGGAAGAAAATACTGAATTATTTACATTAATACAATCTAGGCTGGATTCCTCTGTGAGGTCTGATCTCATATGCCATAGCTAGACATCGAGTGAATACAATTGAATCATCAACAACCCATTTATATCCAGATTAGCAACACCGTAAAAAGTGTGACACCTCAAGCTTTTCCACCCATTCATATGCCAAGGGGAGATTTCTCAGGGTGGGCTATGTATAAAATTAGATTGGTGTCAGCTGAATATAAACAATGGCTATTTATAAAAACGAGGCTGTTACTGAGACAATGTTCTCGGCGTGTCCAAAATACAGGCTCCAGACTTCGCTGTTAAAAACCGCGTCTCTAGGGGCCCACATCGATTACGGAGAAAATTGAATTGAACGGGGAGCGCTGGATAGGGTTAAAGTCTGGAAGTCACCGTGGGGTCGAGGTAGACTCACACAAGCACGCGGTCTCACAAAAAAAAATCAGGTTGAGTCTCGGGAACCTTTTAATACCCATCCCGCCCCGTTTGAAGCGTCAGAGCACCAGCTCTCCAGGGGCACTCCAACACAGAGCCAGTCCACACGCTCCTTCAAACTTTACGCACGGATGTACTCCTGTGGAAGTATTTTACTCTGGATTTGCAAGTGTTTCAGCTGAGCCGTATTGTTCCACATATCGTTTCTACCGATTGGAAGCAGTCCCAGACTTAGAATAGCTTTGAAGTCTAAACTTTTAAAAAGTTTACAAAACTTTTTTTTTTTTTTTTTATGTGATTCGCCTTATTCCGGCAGACAGATGCAGTAAATCTATAACCAAAATGACCGGTGTCTTATTAAAGTGCCTAGTCTTGGCGCTGTGTATCGGCGCGCACAGGCTCTTGGCAGTCCCCCGGGCTGAGGAGGATGATGGATCCGGTGACAGCGCCTCGACCCTGGCCTTTGTGTTCGATGTTACCGGCTCCATGTACGACGATCTAAAACAGGTGATAGACGGCGCCTCGCGGATCCTGGAGAAGACCCTCAACCGGAGGACCAGACCCATCAAAAACTTTGTCCTGGTCCCCTTCCATGACCCAGGTACTTTTTGACCAAACACACTTTGTTCTCAAAATAATCTGCCGCACAATAGGCACCTATTGCTGCAAGTGTTTAATCTTGATTCTTAATATGTTTCTGAATTAATGCATGGAATAAAGATTTTTGCTTTTAACAAATCAGCCAAGAATGGCCAGTGTCTTACCAGGTCCAGGCAACACAGCAGCCTGCAGCCTTCTTTTTGCATTATAAGCAAACTCAGCACGTAGGGTACATTGCCCCTGATTCGTTTGTAGCTATCATTTATATAGATTTACTTGGAAAAGATCACAGCAAACTGCAACACATCTCAGGACCTGTTACACATGTTGTTAGCTGTTTCAGAAGAAGTCCATTTGGACACAGAGCAGCACATCGAAGTCAAAGACATCAAGCAGGAATATATACAGTATATGTGAGCTTTTAGAATGAGGAGTCTGTGGGACAGGTAAGGCTCTTCACCCCCGGCATCTACCCTCGTATGAGAAAGCTGCAGCTTGAAAATAAGAGTGCTCTAATGGGGGAGGGTGTTTGAGCACTGATGAGAAGCATATGCTGTCTGCTTGTGTGTAATTACCCCACTCACCCCACCCCTCCCTCAATTCCATCCAAGCCTCTGGAAAACCCTCGTAGCCCCCCAGTTTAGCCAGTCAGGGGGTGTTAGTTAGGGGGTTGCACTAACACCACACATTTTGTCTGTGTTTAATGTGCCCTGCCCTTGGGTACCTTGTAAACCTCCAAGATTGCAAAGAAGCCACGGTGGCTGACGAAGAGGCGTGACAGTGCTGTCAGTGTTTTACAGTCACTCATGACAAGGAGACAAAGACTTAAAATCCTCCCTTATTGGAAAATAGATGAATGAGTTAGAAATGTCATCAACTTGACGCATTGTCTGCAAGCTCAGTATCATTAGTCTCACAAAGATACTTCAGAATAGTATTTCGGCAGTCGGAATAACAAGCGCAGACACACACAGAAATCATGATGCTCCACCCTACCTGATAAGGGTCTAAAATGAAAGACTTGTGTTTATAGACAGCAGTGTTCTATAGCTAAATCAATGCGTCCTCTGTGTATTGGTTAATGTTTACTGTTCCAGCATTTGGCCCCAGAAGGCATCCAAGTAAGTGTCAGGCCCTGGCAGGTTCTTATCCATCATACTGGAGTCTACTGCTGCTTGAAGAACTCTAAAGATGCTGACTACAGCTGCAGAAAATTGTTATCCGAACTTTGGCCAGATTGTAGTGGTTTGTGTGAAAGAAAACCTGAACATTGTAATTTTGTCAGTGCACCAATTTAGCCACTCTTGTGCTGTGTGTGATTGATATTCATGTCTCGCACGAAAGCTACATGGCATCACTCTGGTTCTGATAAAGTAGACTAGTCTGTGGCTTATTTGGGCTTTTGATGCTGTAGATGCTTTGTCTCTGTTCAGAGGCAGAACAACTGCATCCTTTGTTCTCATATAGTTGATTTGTTTGAAGAAACATTCAGAAGAGTAGACCTAAGCCCTTACTCTGTTGGGATGAATATTTTCTGGCATACGGTATTGTATTGCAACCAAAACATCTCTCTTGAACTGACCAGATTCAATGTTGTTAGAGTCTCTTTCACGATATACATTTCTAATCTCGCAGATATCGGCCCTGTGTCCATCACCACCGACCCAAAGAAGTTCCAGCAGGATCTGCAAGAGCTGTTTGTCCAGGTGGGAACCAGAACATGACATGATTATTATATTGGACCTGGGACCATTGTATTGTTCCACACTAATCCAAGCTACAGCTGTGTGAACTGCCATTGCTTAAAGCAAGCCTATGTAACCTCTACCGAACAGCAGCAACTGTGGCCACAAGGGACAATAATGTTATAACGGTATAACGTAGTGAAGAGGAGAGTCATAATGTCAGCAAACTGGCTCAGGATTATCAGTTACACAGCAACATGTATCTTAAGTTTGGTAACATTAGCCATCATACGCCACTGGTCACACCAGACCAAGTAAGGCTGTAGTGGTAAAACCCCTAAGTGAATTGAGCAAGAGTGTGTTTTTTTTTTTTATTGTGTATATGAATCCAAGTTTTCATTTCTAAAAGGCATATTGTCATATTTCTTCTTTCAGAAGTTACTTAGTGTTGCTTAAATTAGTATGTTTTTTAAATATATGTCAATGTTAGCCAACGCTGCGTCCCGCTTAAATGGGACACTATTCCAAAAACTGAGGTATGATAGAATTGTTTGAGTATAAAATCAGTATGAATGCAGTTTAAAATAAGATATTTAGACTTTATTTCTTCCAGCAGTATTTGATCATGTGTGATTCACTCATCCAGGGTGGGGGTGACTGCCCCGAGATGAGCATAGGAGCCATAAAGAAAGCCTTGGAGGTTTCCCTGCCTGGATCCTTCATCTACGTGTTCACTGACGCCAGAGCCAAAGACTACCGCCTAAAGAGAGATGTTCTGCAGCTGGTGCAGCTCCGGCAATCGCAGGTGCAGTCCTAGAAAGTGGACCGGGCTGTGAGCGTCTCACGAACCAGGGCTGTAGAGATAATGTTGGCAGTTTACTGTCATTTATCCCACATATGAGGGAGGTTCAATACAAAAACATGTATTCAAACATTTCATTAGTGTTGTTTAACTCTCCCATAATGATCTAAATGCTGTTTAGGCGATGTTAACAGGAAAAGGGTTAAATCTGAAGGTTTAAAAACAAGTGCTGGCCCACAGAGTTTTGAGTATCTTTGCATTTATCACACGCTGTAACAAAAGGAATACAGTGGCATGCTGGGATAGATCTACATTCCAATGAAGCTTCCTGACGTTCAGCTAAGGAGGGGAAAGTCTCTTCAAAGTTACTTTAGTCTCAGCCTCTACATCGAGCATGACAATGAGCATTAGCGTCACTTTGGAGTCAACTGAAAAGCGAGATCATAGAAAACAAACACTGAACTGTAGTAATCCTCTTAACTCTTCCTGCCCCCTCACTCCACCCCACCCCTCCGTTCCCAGGTGGTATTTGTGCTGACTGGAGACTGTGGAGACCGCTCTCAGCCTGGCTACAGGGCCTATGAGGAGATCGCTGCCACCTCCTCTGGACAAATCTTTCACCTGGACAAGCAGCAGGTCAACGAGGTAAGAGCATGACGGGGTACATGGCAGTGCTATGGCTGTTACCTTCACCAAACCCTCATTAAATCTGTATATACATAATAAGTGTATTAATATCAAATAAATCCTACTGATCCGACAATCAAATGATTACAAAGCTGATATTAAGCTTCCTGTTCATATGATACGGTTGAGTGACTGTTTTATGTTGGAAGCAGCATGTAACAGAAGCCCTGTCTAAGAAGCCAAAGACAGCAGGGCTCACTTCCTTGGCAGATGTAAAAGAAGCCAGAGTTTCCTCTGGAAGAGACACTGGTATCCTGCATGTCAACACAGGAGATAGCTGGGCAGCAGCGTTGAGCTGGAGCCAACAGCTCTGCTCACTGGTGGCCCACTGACCCTCTGAACTCAGATGTGTTTAAGTGTGTGTGTGTGAGTGTGGGGGGGGGGGTCTGTTTCCTGTTAAATCATGCATGCATGTAGCTATACAATGCCGCTGTGGGGGCAGCTCGGTAACTCCGTGATACTTTGTGTTGCTGTATTAAGGGAATAGAGACCAAACTCACTTCTGCCCTCACACCTCCACCCCAGATGACTTTGTGCTAAAGCAGCCTTTGGCATGTTCTTAGTGTACTGTTACATGTAAACATGTGCACACTTGTGAATAGATTGATCTTGGATCCACATTGAATTACTGTATGCCAGTGGGTTTTCTAGACCTGTGTGATTATAGCTCTTGGGTGGCATGCTTTTACCAAATTAATGCAAATCCTTTAATCCTTAAAAACCTCAGAAGTACTACAAATCTAACCAAAATATTCCCTCTTAAAAGCAGTTTAATAAAGTGCGGCCAAATAAAAATATACAAAATCTTTTTGTGGTCTCTGGGGGGGGAGAGTGGAGAGAAAACAGACTGCTTATTTGAGTCTCTAATCCCAGGATACGATCTGTCACGGCTTCCCTCATTCCAACACAGCTGCCCAGTGGAGTTGGCTTCAAGTCCTTAAACAATAACTCATTGTCAGTTCTACATATCGCACTGTTTATGCTCTGTTAAATTTGACCAATTATGATCAACTAGAGTATCCGCTAATGAGCGTAGACGAAGCCTCGTTAATGTACTGTCAAACTTGGACCATGCGTGATCTGTGCTCTTTATTGTAATGATGCCATCCTTAGGTGATGTTAAGCTTCCAGATAAAAGCCTCGGCAGGTGTGTCGAAACTCTCACTGAGAAGAGAGCATGGGGTCCATCTGGGCCTGATTCACACTAATAGCCTTGATTTGTAGAGATGCATCTTCCTGCAAATGTCAGAAGTTGTGGTGTTTAAGCCTGAGTAAAGACTAAACTGACTCCTCGCAACTGGGAGGTCTGCAATCAAGCTGTTGTGCTTAACTACTGCACGGCCACGTTTTTTTTTTAGCAGGTAAAGCACCTGGACGAGTGAGGGGAATACAGCATCACTCCAGCCTTAGCGAACCCTTCTTCTCTGGCCCATCTGCCATGCTTCTATGAATAGCAGAGGGGGTCCTTCCTGTAAGAGCCCTGTAAGTTTAACTGAGACACGCCAGATGAGGTTTCACAGGACTTAAGATCCTCTGCATTCCCAGTGGTTGAGACAAGGAGTGGCTGCAGAACTCAGCGTGCTCCTCTAGTCCTACCATGGCCCGGACAGCAAGGCATCCCCTCTCTGCACTCCACTTCCTTTTATCTGTGGTCTGAGTAATGCCTACTCCTCTCTGCTCTCTTGCATAAGAAGTGGACTCTATCCTGAGGCAGCTGCAGGTCACTTCTTCGCAGTTTCCTGCTCTGCTGGTGATGTCTGCACATGTGGCAGGCATTACAGCTGTTTCCAGTTGTAAAATGGCGAGAGGAACCAGCTGCTGTCAGCACCCAGTCAACCTGATAGACAAAAAGCGGAGGGCTGATAATTAAGTCTTTCCTTGTTTCAGTTTTTGCTCCTTTTTGTAAATGTCTTAAAATGTGTTGCCGTTGGCTCCGTCTCCAAGGGCCCGCTAAAGAAATGTTTCCAGATTGTTTCATTACAGACGCAGCTCAGCCATAATGCCTCTCCATATGAAGTCAAAACAAATACTAGACAGCAGTTGCTTGTTAAGCATTTAGAAGATGGAAGACTTTTGGTCTAGTGCGGCCTCTGGAATGAGACTCTTTAAAATACCAGAAATACCAGGGCTTTTCTGCTTCATTTTAGAGAAAACAAAAGAAAAACTGTATTCGTACTCAAACCATGGTAACGATTATACCAAGAAGGTCAAGCACCTGTCAAAACTGAAATTCTATATCGTCTGATATTTCTCTGGAGAGCCTCTGAAGGACATTATAGTCTAAGTCATGATTGTTTTTGCCATTAAATATAATCAAACTGTCCACTATTATTTCAGTTTGGGTAATCTTTGCTCTGAGTTTTGGAATGACTCATTTATGAGCTGAATCTCCTGTAATCCTAATGTGTTGCTGTCTGGCCTCATCTGGCTTCTTAAGTTTTATTCGATTCCACAGAACAGCTGAGAAACAGCCAGCCATTTCTGTCCGTAAATAATCCAACACATTAGTCAGGTTTATGCTGTGGAATACACAGTTAAAGTGTATTTCTAAAACAAAGGCACCACTGCTTTCTATTCAGAGGAACAAGCCTCGTGATTCATGAAAGCTGTGTTGCAGGTGGGGGATTGCTGCTTGACAGACTTCCACAGTGAGAGACAGTCCTCTGGGAATACATGCTTGAGAGTGCAGAAAACTGTATGTTATCAGTTTGACAGTTGCACTGTTTCACTTTTCCTTTGTTTAGGCAAAATCCCTCAGAGGAATACTTTTGCGATGAAAGAATAGTCCGAAGACAAAGAGCAGCCTGCTGCTCGAGCAGGGAAGGGGTTGGTGGGGGGGGGGGGAAGGCACAAGTGCGTCCTTCCTGTCCTCGTCCTGTCTTTAAGTTGAGAGGCGATCCCCGACAGTTTGCATTTGATGGATCCCAGCCTCACCCAGCGATGAAAGTGTCTCCTCCAGCGTGACATGTTGCTCTGTTTTTCTCCTGCTGTCAGGTTTTAAAGTGGGTAGAAGAGACGGTTCAAGCCATGAAAGTCCACCTGCTGTCCTCCAACCATGACAGTGCCCAGGAGAACAAGTGGGAAGTGCCCTTCGACCCCAGCCTTCGAGAGGTCACCGTGTCACTCAGTGGACCAGCTCCACAAATCGAGCTCAGAGATCCTTTCGGTAGACAACCCATTATTACTGTTTTCTTTCTTGCTATATTGATTAACAATATTTTCAGTGCACCCAAATAAGGGAAGATAATCTTACGTTGAAAAGCTCCTGTTCTTGTGTTGTAGGTCGTGTAGTTGGTGAGGAGCAGGGCCTGAAAGAGCTGTTAAACATCCCCAACTCTGCTCGTGTCGTCAACCTGAAGTTTCCCAGACCTGGGGCTTGGAAACTGAAGGTACTGCTCTGCTGAAATAGCCATGAATATGTTTCTTTGACTATTTCAAGACAATGGCCTAATTTAATGCTTTACTTTCTTTCTATAGGTGAGCTGCAGTGGTCGCCATACTCTGAGGGTCACAGGAGTCAGCAATCTAGACTTCCGGGCCGGCTTTTCCAGTATACCCGTTTCAGAGTTCAACCACACCAGAGGGAGGCCAATAAAGGGTGCCGAATATGTTTCTGTTAGCTTCTTTATTCTTATTTGACTGAAAACATGTGCAGACGACGACTTCACGACATGATCTGTCTTTGTCACTCAGGACTTCCAGCCCATGTTTTGCTGAAATGTACAGGCCTGAAGCCTCCTGGTCTGCTAAGCCATGTGGAGCTCATGTCAGGCTCAAGCCGCTCCCTACGCACGATCCCCGTGCCTTTGCCCTCTGACCTCGGCCAACAAGGACTGTGGAGTCTCCCGGAGTTCCGCACCCCCTCACAGAGCTTCTTCATCAAGGTGACGGGCAAAGACGAGGAGGGCTACCGCTTCCAGAGGCTGTCCAGTGTCTCCTACACCAATGTCGTTCCAGGCAAGACATCCCCCTCACTGCAGACACATCTCGCCAAAGCCACTCAGTAGTGCAGTGTCTCTCACACCTGATCAACCTTCCTGGTGACCTTTATTCTTTGTTTCCTCCCTTGTGTAGATCCCCCAGCTGTAAGCATGCCTGATGTGGTGAAGGGCTTCTACATGCAGCCCGCTGTGATTGGCTGCTCGGTGGAGAGTGACATTCCCTACAGGCTAATATTCACCAGAAGTGGGATTACACTGGGAGAGGAGAAGTTCTTTCAGTGAGTCTTTCCTCTGTTAGCTCGGCACTCTCCAACATTTGGCACATCTTCCGGATTCAGATTCCTTCAAATGCTTCAGCTTAATTCTCCCATTACCTGCTGTAAATAGGCTAATTGGGTCACTCACTACTCTAACCAGTGAGCATGTCTGTAAAGCATTAGTGCTGTTGTTGAGTTTTATGGGCTCATCTGTCAGGAAACATGTATACAGTCAATTTTGTAAACATTACATATTTGATTGTGTCATCTTAAAAAAATTAACAAAGCGCCTATTCTTTCTCTGTGTTGACGCTCTGCTTTGAATTACATTCATGACATGAAGCTGACTTGTGGTGAAAACTATTTTTTTTTTTTGTGTGTGTGTGTGTACCAGTGATGCTAATTGAATATGACGTGAAATGGGATCTTGTTGCTATTGTTATACTCCAGTCAACGAACCAACCGTGTCTTTGTATCAGGGGTTCTGCCGTGGCATCATGGGAGATTGCCCATGCGTCAGCTGAGGATGAAGGCCTGTATGAGTGCATAGTGCAGAGCAGTGCAGGACAGGGACGTGCCTTAACACAGTTGACTGTTAGAGGTATGTTACACACACATGTACAACAATGCAAGCTTACACACCTCCTGAGTCGTCTTGCTTGCATGCATCACAGTCACAGCAAGGCTTTGAAATAAGTTCCATCCATTCTTTGTCTTAGATCCATGGCTAAAACACTGACACGATACAAATCATGCCAGCGCAAACGTTTGTATTTAAGAGTAAACTATTTCTGGACTTGTTAGTTCACCGCTGATAACACAAAGTTTGATGGTTTGGTTGTGTTTCCAAACTAAAACAGAGCCTCCTCCGGTCTTGAAGCCCGCAGTGAATGCGACTTCCTCTGTGGGAGGTGTGGCTGTGCTCTCCTGCCAGGTGGAAGGCTCCATGCGCCACAACTTGACCTGGTACAGAGCAGGTCGTACCATCCGGGCCCGTGCGGGGAGGGTGATGTTGCTGTCCGACGCGTCCCTGCAGATCAGCGAGGTGCGGACTCAGGATGCTGGGGAGTACCACTGTGTGGCCACCAATGCCCACGGAGACAGTAGAATCACCGCATGGCTTCTCGTCCCAGGTACGACAGGAACGATACCCTGCAGGTCATCTGCTTAAACACTTAACACTCCGAGGGCCTCATAGCTCCTCTCTGGCCCCCATCATCTGTTTTCCATAACCTCCTCGCTGTCAGATTGAGCCACTTCCTAGTCAAAAAATGTTCATCAACAGCGAGAACTAATGCTTGTTGAAAAGTGTGGCTTCTACTGTGGGCACACTTTCAGATATTTGTAATGGATTTCAAAAATAGCCAATTAAATGTAAAAATTCTGTACCAATGATGTCAGACATAGTAAGTGCTGGTAATTTCATTGTAGCCCACATTGTTAGAAGTCTGTTGTTGTTAAACATGTAATGGGGAAGTTGTAAATTACATCATGCAGCACTGACAAGGCCCTGAGTCACCGACAGCATTTTGCCTCTGTTTGACTCCAACTGTAGAGGCTCCTTCTGTGGTAGTTCACCCTCAGGGCCAGGCTTTCTCCCGAGGGGACGAGATCCGCCTCGTCTGCTCGGCGTCTGGCTCCCCTCCTCCCCAGCTCTTCTGGAGCCACGGAAACATGTTCCTTACTAATCGGCCGAGGTAAGGGAACTCTCAGGCCACTCAACACCTCCGGCACAGAGGACTCAGAGAGTCATTACATTCCACTTTAACTACATGCGTAATTGCCACATCTTGTTTGCATCACTTCGGATGTAAAATCCTTTTTCCAAACCACAAGGACTTAATATGCCTGTGTAAAATACATATTCAAAGAAATATTTCTCTCATGATACCCAAGAATGGCAGAAAGGGTTAGAGAGGAATTGCCGTTTTACATCTGCAAATATAATCACGAAGAGTCAACAAACATGAATTTTGTGGATTGCATGATACAGGTTGAGTCAAGACCAACATGGAGTTCTGACCATCAGAGGGGCCCTCCCAGAGGACGCTGGGGACTACACGTGTTTGGCAACCAATGAGGCTGGCACTGCCTCTCAGTCTGTGTCACTTACTTTTGCAGGTAAGTCAAGTTATTGCAACAGATGTTAAGGGTGCCATTGTGAAAACATGCTGTTGTTGGAATGATCCTTTTTACCATTTGTAGTTTTTTTTTTTTTTTTTTTTATATATACGTCCTGAAGAATCATTTCTGGTAGCATTCATTTGAAGACAATTTTTTTTGTCTGTGTTGTTGACTATTCTTCAGAAGCATTCGTTTTCAATCAGTGTGTGAACGATATCCAGTGTGAGTTTGGCCACAACAGACTCACACAACAGAATATTTCTCTTCTTGTTTTGTGAGTGCTGACAGTTGTAGGCCTGAAGTTTCAGTCATGGCATGTCAGCTAGTGTTTGAAAGAAACCTCAATACTGATGGACTGTGGCAGCCTCTTCCTGGGGCGTGCTGGTCTTACACACACTTTTGTCTCTGAATGTCATTTTTAAGAACATTGATCTGTCAAGGCAGCGAGAGCCTTGTGAGATAGATCATCTCATCTTTTCAGCTTGGCTGTCTGCCTGTTCCATAGAGCATCTGTCTCTGCTCTGTTGAGACTGAATGTGTGTGAAATGTAAGCTTAGTTTTCTATCTTCACCTCAGGTCTTTTCTGCAGCCTTTATTGATTCAAGCCAACATTACTTTGCTGTTTAAAAATTGAATGCACAATCAAATTGCTTCGTAAGCTTTCTTTTCTGTCCCCCAGAGATGCCTAGAATATCAGTGGCACAGCATGTCGTACTCGTGTCTGTTGGTGGTGATGTGACCCTGGAGTGCCAAGCCACAGGCATTCCTCCTCCTCTTGTCCACTGGTTTAAAGGTAAGTTAAGGTTAGAAACAATGTGTACATACAAGCAAATTAGGAAATATCTAATAAGAGACCAATGGGCTTGTTTTATGTGTGTTTCCAGGTGAGCTTGAGGTGGGCTCCGCTCCTTTCGTTGAGCAGGATGAACACCACGGGACCCTGCACATTAAAGGGGTGCAGGAGGTCGACGCTGGTCAGTACAGCTGTGTGGCCAGCAGCTCTGCTGGAACCTCCGCTGGCACCGTCAGTCTGGAGGTTGGAGGTGAGACCACACCTTGGTGTTCCATATAAAGCTTATTTTTCTCTCAAAATTTACGAAAAGGAAAATTCACTCTCCCCTTAACAGCGGGCCCATTGTTCTCGGAGGCACCGGTTGACGTTACAGCTAACGTAGGGGAGAATATCACCCTCCCCTGCACTGCCCGAGGTTTCCCGCAACCGATGGTGACCTGGCGCAGACAGGACGGCAGACAGATTCTTACAAGGACAGACAGCCACAGTAGAACAATGCAGCTGGAGAGCGGACATCTTCTAATCCAGAGTGAGTTATCAATGAAACACTATCGCAGCACAGAGCTTTGGTCTGCAGTGCAAGCTAAAACAGCTTCATGGTTGCCTTGCACTGACTGGCATTTTCTGAGTGATTATATATAGAAGAGGTGCAGCCTTTCATATTACATTCAGCTTTTCTTAAGAGAGGGGGGCAGCAACAGAATGCCATTGCCATCAGTAAAAGTACAGTATGTAGTCAGTATATATCACAAAACATTACGTGTCTATCCTGCTAAAATCACTTCTTCTGGTTGGTGAAAGACTTACCGAAAACAAAAAGTACCACATCACCTTACTGCTGTTAAGTATTTCTCCTTCATTGTGGGATTGTATTCCCATCAGGGCAAAGAAGAATTTAAAGTTGTGAACTCTAGAGGCCTTTCAGACTGCAATATGACTAATCTTGGCCACTGAAGGTGATCCTTTGTGCTCCTGAGACTAAATGTTTATCGTGTGCGTAATATTTTATTGGAGAAGACCAGACATATGTGCATGGGCTGCTTCTGTCACTGTTTCCATTTCTGGCTGCCATCTGACCTAATTACCTCAATCTGTTGCAGATTACTTTTTTTTTTTTAACCTGCCATTGTTTTAGAAAATGTCTCTATCCATATTGTGTTACGCACAAATTCCACCAATCCCTCGCCCTTCTGCTCCTCACTTTTTGCTTTAATGCTTAATGTCTTTTCATCAGCTATTGAAACATAGGCCTGACTATCCAAACACAACGTGAATCATATGTTGATGTTCCAACATGTAATCTCGAGGGAATTTACTGAGTGGGACATGTGTGTTAGGGGGCTGGCAGCTGAGGCAAACCCATTAATCCCGTTATTTTCTATTTTTAACTCTTAATTACAGCACAGTCTTACTATTATTAACTGCTATCAACATGGACTTATTGTTTTCTTTCTCAGCAAGATTGGAGCTGGTTTATCTCGGATGTAAAGACTGTGCTGTGTTTCTAAAGAAGTTGATTTGAGTTTGCTCAGTGTCTGTTTCCTGTGTTTGACTACAGGTGTCTGGCTAGATGATGAAGGGCTGTACATCTGCGAGGCCAAGAACCAGTTTGGAACCATTAAAACAGAGGCCAGAGTTGGTATCACTGGACTGGGTAGGCTTGTCTAAGCTCTCTTTTCTTTCTGCACTACCATACATTTTAGAAACAATAGCAGCAACTCCAAACAGACTGTGGCCTTAAAATACATACATTTTCTTTCCATTTATGCTCTGACCTTTTCCTGCAGAGCCCCCTCTCCTGGCCCAAGGTGCCCCAATCATCACCACTGGCATCGGTCAGTCCCTCAGTGTTCCTTGCATGCTGTTGGATGGAATACCTCTTCCAGAAAGACACTGGTCCCAAAATGGAAAACCTGTAAGACTGACTAGTATTTAGCTTTCAAATGCATACAGTATGTCTTACAGATAATCTCCATGTTTCTGTGTAACAGCTGTTGCTTTTCTCCTGCACAGGTTCAGCTGAATGGAAGGATGTTCTTGAGGAGTGATGGCAGTTTGTACATTGAAAGAGCAGTCCCACGGGATGCTGGGACATATGTCTGCACTGCTGTGAATGTAGCAGGCTCCATGAACATCACAGTCAGCCTGGAGGTTCACGGTAAGAGCACATGTTAAAGGATATGTCAGACATGTTGAGATTAGGTGTAAAGAGCAATACCTCACCCAAGATGGTGGTGGTATAAATCTTCTCATCTAACTGTCAGCAAGAAAGCAAAAAGGTAACTATTCCTTTGAGTTCCAATTCCTGAATTCAGTTTCTCAATGCTAGAGACACTGGCAGGTTTGGACAGTCAGGTCAACTATGTGCTGACTCAGCATGGAAAACAACATTAGGTCTATAACTTAATCTGCTGTCATCATAGTGAGAGGGTTCATTTATTGCATGCTTTGATGAAAGGGTCATTCTGTTCATAGGCGCATAATGACAGGCCAGATTACGGTTCATCATCAGTTTGTAATGAAGAAATACCTTGAGCGCTGACACTGCTGGCTGGCTAAGACTAGTGATAATTCTGTGGGCACCCTTCTTCACGACCAGTCAAGCAGCTGTGTTTTCTGACCTACTTCTTCCACAGTGCCTCCTGAGATCAACGCTGGTCCATACCACTACATAGCCAATGAGGGCGTAGCCATCACACTATCATGCGAAGCCAGCGGAGTTCCCAAGCCAAAAGTTGTGTGGTCCAAGGTAGGATGTTACACTCGTCAAAATCTAATTTTCTTGGTGATTGCTTTGGCTGCATAGTTCTTATTCCCACTACATTATCTAGTGTGGATCACACTTGGCATTAATTCACCTTAAATGCTTGTTGAAGTGGTAGCTATATCAAGCATGTTACAGTCAAACAAAAGATCAGCATGCAGTCCTGCAATGGTGATGGGATCTACAGTTTTCTACTGGAAGTGTTGAGCCAAACCAGCTTTTAATGTAATCAGCAGTAGCATAATCACAGTGACGGTAATGGCCACCATCTTCATCTAATAATGCATTCTCTTAAGATTTACTACTTAAACTTAAATCATGTCAAAAAAGAAAACATCTGGTATCCGTGGCTGTAGCAGACCTGTAATAAACCCATCCAATCATTTCATTCCGCTTGCATGAAGTGATTTGATGGCCTACCTATGTACCTGCCTGCGTGCACTCTGCCTGTGCACTCATTGAGTTGAATACGGTTAGTGATGATGGCGCTCTCGTGGACTCCAGCAATAGTCAGGCAGTGAGCATTTGTGTGCTATTGGGGAGTTTTGGAGGGAGGCCTAAAGTTTTGATTGGTCACTTTGAAAATCTGACTTACTTTCGCTGGTTTCTCCAAAGTTGCCTACCCCAGCTTTACGCCACTATCTATCACCGAATGAGGTAACTCAAAGGAGATTGCGCCTATAGCCCATTGATGAAAGCTCTTGCATTTGTGGTATTTCAAACTGGGTGTCTGGAAAAAATCCCAAGCAGTGATCTTTGGGAAGTAAAATCCCAAAACATACCTGCAATTACCACTTATCGCCATAGGTGTTGATAAAGAAATCGAAAAGGAGATCCTCAAGGTTGTCACTTTAAGATAACATTTTATTTAAAGAATATATATATATATATATATATATATATATATATATATATATATATATACATTTTCCTACTAGCATATTAATCCCACAACATGGTTTCTCCCTCTGGCCTTATTTTTCTTAAAATACCACCAACAGTAACGCTTTGTATTTCAATCAAGATTTGATTTAGGTTGACCAGGAAGTATAAAACCATGGCAACCGTACCATATTAGTGCTTGACTATGAGGAATCACTCAAGATTGTATTGTATGTAAGAATCTATTTAAAACATTTCTTGCAGCACCTTCCAGTGCAACACTTGAGTAAAAAAGACATCACAAGGAGAAATCCTCAAAGATTATATGCCACCAGGCAGAACCGCTGTATCAAATCACTCCAGAATAAACACCCCACACTATTACAGTCAGCTTCACTGAGGGGAGTCAATATACATATTGTTGAACTGAGCCAGTTTTTTTTTCCTTTCTTTTTCCCAAATATTTTCAGAGGAGTACTCGAGAATGGAGTACATTTTCTTTTCTTGTCAGATAAAAGTGAATCTGTAAAAGCAATTTTATGTTCAAAGCAAGTGCATGTGCAGCAGGCTGCTCTCTTGTTTCCGTGCATTGGGGACAGAGAGTGAGTTACTGGCATGCTCTGTAATTACATTAGACATCAAAGGTTGGGCTGTAAACCTTAAACCAAGCTTAGTGTCCCTGCGCTGTTCTGTGGACAGCTTTTATCTAAAGTATATTCTGTCCGGTCTTATGCCTGCTGTTCCTCCAGGGGAGGCAGCCTCTGCCCAGGGACCACTCCTCTCTTTTGTCCGACCCTGATGGATACCTCCTCATCCCCCACCCTACCAATGAGGATGCAGGCATTTACATCTGCACCGCCACCAGTCCTGTGGGCTACGCGAGCCGAGAGATCCAGCTCAGTGTCAACAGTAAGGCAAAAAATTGTTACACCACAGTCACCCAAACATATCAGTGTTTGGTTTAGCAGAGGCTGACATCTGTCTACACAGACTGTATGATGTTGGACTGTATGATAAATCTTCCTGTTCAGGGAAGGTATATACATGGTATTCTTACAACTTCTTTCCCTGTTTTCCAGCCATGCCTAAAATAGTGGGCGTGAGTGGCCATGACAACACAGTGAAGATGGCTGCAGAGGTGGGCACAGAGGTTGTTCTCCCATGTGAAGTCCAAGGCAGTCCCTCTCCACTTGTCACATGGAGCAGAAATGGACATCCAATCCCCCCCGTCACAGCTGGGTAAGAGGAAGTCTTACCTCATTCTGGAAATGATGGAGTAAAATAGTTAAACATCTTGTAACAACATTTCTCACCATGCCTTACATCTGACTTAGCTAACATCTGACTCAGCTTTTACAAGGGTCACTGACTGAAGCTAGCTGCCATTCAAAGCTGCTGCTAATGTTTGGAGTTAATTTGGTGATGATTTTTGAAGGGCAGCTAGGCAGAGACAGCAACAGTCTGCCAGAGGGAGATGTGTGCGGGCTTCACTGGTTGAATAAACTGAGGAGGAACATCTGGTCTAACATGGTTCGCTGATTCCCGGCTTTCATGTGTGGTCATTCACTCTGGGTGCAGACAGACTGGGGACAGATGACAGACAGACTCTCTGGGCTAGACACCAGACCGAAAGGTTTTGGGGTGGATAGAAGAATGACGGAGTGGGCTGAAAGCTGCGGTGACTCAGATGCAGTATGACTTGTGTGGGGCCAGGAAGAAGGAAAGGGGTGGGGGTGGAGTGGAGTGGGGGGATGCCAGGAAGAGGGGAGGAAAATGAACTGACAGAGGAAGAGATACAAGCCCTGTCTGCCTGATGTTCAGATTCCCTGGGGTGCTTCAGCAGTAAAACAACATGCTGACTCTTTACTAGTCCTGTCTGATGAGAATAACACATCTCTGTGAACAGCCCCCACATAAGCCCTGGCTTTGCATATGCAGGACCTGCAGAAACAAGCACTCTGTGAAGGAGGGAGATTTATTCCCTCCAGCTACACTCTGTGGGGTCAGAGGAAATGACCAGGGGTGCTGATTGTTGAAATAACTGAAATCAGTGGGCAGTAAGATTTCAGCTATAGCTATGTAATAGGCTTGCACTAGCAAAAAGATGGAGGGTAGGTCAAGACACAAAGCTAATCAACCCTCTGGGTTTATTCCCTCTACACGTAATCCTGATGAGGCCAATTTATCCCAGTTAGTCTTTGTGTCAGACTGTGTACACAGATGACTTGACACCAATGTGGGGTGTGATGGATGGGCGGCAGGGGTTGTTTGTGTCTTGTGTGCTTGACCTTGTGTCAGCCTTCACTCTTGCATTGCTGCGCTGCAGTCTGAGCAGCTCCGATTGACCACATTTGGTTCCAATGTTAGATGTTGCTGCCTCTCCTAAGGCTGTTGGAGGAGGTGGGGGAGCGACATTACACCATATGTGCAGCTGAAATAGAGAGCTCTTTGTGCTTCAAGCTCATTCCCACTTACACAAACATGTTATTGTTAAAATTCAGTTGCTTAGCAGACACACTTATCTAGGATAAATCACAGAAGTTTGTTTACATCTGAGCATATTAAGCATTTATACAGCTGGATGGCTTCTGGTGCTATTCATGTTGCCACACGCCCCTTTAAAGTTGCTGACCTACATTTAAGTACTTTTAACCTACATGCGCTCGTGTTTTTGCTACAAATCATGTTGTTGGAGTGGGTGGCAGTACATGTGTTCGTCTCCATCTGTCTACTTGTTTGTCTGTGACAAACATCTATAACTGGAATGGATGGTTTGGCATACATTTTGCTTTCCTCATGGATGTTCTCAAGATAACGGAGATCTGTGTAACCTTCCATGTGACTCCACCATCAAGACGACCTTTTGATTTTCAAATCATCTGTATTTTCTGACCCCTTGGTGAAAAACACACAATAGCTGCTGTGCACATTTCTGTGCATTGATTTTTTTTGAGCCTATGACCTTTTCTATTTTGACATCACCAGTTCAAACTTTGGTTACCCTTTCACACTGTAATTACCCTGGACAATGGTAACTGTGATAACAACTCGTAAGAACTCACGAGGGAGAGTACGAGGCCCTGGCTAAGGTCCAGACTCCACAAAGTGCTTTCTTGTTCAGAGCTTTAATCCATCACTAGATCCATATATCTTTCAGACAAACAACACAAATGCAAAGACGCCATCAACAGCCTCCAAATGTATTTCAAGTCTCTATTGCTGTCACTATTTCTCATGCTTTGTTTTGTATTTTGAACTTAACTTAAAATTGCATTTAAAGTAAAGAAAACACAATACAAGGGATAATGTAGCGTTATGCTCCATTCTTTTCACAAATTGCTCAAAATGTGAACATATTATCTAATTAATCTACATACTAATGAAGCACTTTATCAATGTGCTTCTGGCTGTCGCTGTACTGGGAATTCACTGTCTGAATTTGTTTTTACAGGAACTGTTTTCATCAACTCATCTCCTACTAAAAATAGTAACAGAAGCAAAACTGCAACATGAAACTTAAAATGCTCACAGACTATCAAGGCTTACCAATACTATAAACACTGGCCAGCCTTTATACATATTTATCTGCTCGTATAGATTCATTCATAGTATTCATTCTCAACAATGTAAATGGAACACTAGAGGAAAATATCACTTCAAAACAGGAACGCTTATCTCCCAAAACACAGTGGCTGTAGTTCTTCAGTGACTCATAAAGTGTTGCGTTTTCTCCATCCCTCTGCCCTTGACCCCTAACCACTCTCCAGGTTCACTGTCCTGTCTTCAGGCTCTCTGAGGATCACTGATGTGCGCCTGATTGATAGTAAACTGTACACCTGCACTGCGGGAAACCCAGCAGGCAACGTGTCCCTCAGCTACAATTTACACATTCAAGGTAACTCTATGCGGCTTCATTAGAAAGTTCTTAGAAACTTTAAAAGTTATGTTTTCAAAATGCTGTCAAGTTGATAGATTCCAATTAGAATACGCCTCCTCTAACAAAAAATGTGAGATTTGTAAATAGAGGTGTTTAAGAGATGTGATAAGACATGCATTTAGGATGTTTGTTTTTGTACTCAGCTAAGCCTAGAATTCAGCCAGCACCTTCCCTCCTGAAGGCCCTGATTGGCCAAAGAGTGACTCTGCCATGTGTGGTCCAAGGACAGCCAAGCCCTGAGGTCAGTTGGTTTCACAATGGACGTCCTGTTGGGGTCAAGAACACTACGCCCCTCAGGATCCAGCAGGTCAGCCTGACTGACCAGGGCACTTACCAGTGCGTGGCCAGGAACAGCGCTGGACAGGAGACCTTGGAGATCAAGCTGGAAATTCTTGGTGAATATCTGCGGTTCAGCTCTTAAAACCCGTTTTGTTCATTTTGAGAATAATTAACACAACTCTGCAGTATAACCAGCATATTGTGAATTATGTAAAACCTATTTAAACCATTTCCTAGCATTAGTAATATGAAGATTTATATATACTGACAGTGTCCCAGTTTTAGGCTCTCCCCTGTCTATCTAGAGGTACATTCTCATGAGGCACAGTAGCTACATGCTGCATGAGGATAAGGTGTCATTTGTACTAGAAAATAAATGTTTCATTCGGCAAATTGTCCTACCACATCAAAAATTGAAAGTGTTTATAATTGTTCTGAATGGCTACACTCAAAGGCAAGGAGTTAAAAGCTGACCTTCATAGCGGGGGCGTACATGAAGACAATCATAGTGTTGCACTCGGCTATTCACATAAATAGTGACAGATTTTGTTGCAGTAGTAGAATGAAAAGAAGACAGCTAGAGAAATAAATTCAGACCCTGGCTTCGTTCCCACCTCCGCACAGCTGGCCATTCATATTGTGGAGTAGGTGTGGATGCCACATTGTCGCATTCACACAGCCCCACCCATCTAATCCGGCTTCGATAAGGTGTCTGGGAAAAGGTTGTTCAAAGCTATTCAACCATCTGACAAGCACGTTCTGACAGAGTATCCTCACCCCTGAAGCAGTCCTTTAAACCTCTATGAACTTGTGCCATCACTTATGGGGTGCCACAGAGGTCTGTTCTTGATCCATTACTATTTACTTAATACATAGACAACATTATTCTTTCTAATCATTTCTTCAACATCCACTTCTAAGCAAATGATAGATGTATAGGCCCCTGGTTCCACCCCAACCCAGGCTCCTAATGATCTTCAGCCTGCCTTTGATGCTTTCCGGATATCAAAACCCTGAAATGCCAAGTTCATGTGTATGTACTAACCATGGCAGAGCTAGTATATAAGTTACATATATTTTCTATTCCACTTGGAGCCTTTAAAGCTGTATCATCCTATGTTGTTGTTAGTTTTATTAATTCTCTTTGTCACTTGATGATTGGCCAGAGAGTACAAATTCTCAAATCTAACACCCACATCAGTCCCTCAGATGCTCTTAAGGCTTCTCACTTACTCATTTACCTAAACTGAAATCTCCATCATTAATCTGTTTAAAATTGATTTCACTTTGGGATTTAAGGGTCCCTCTATCAACTGCCCTTGCATTTGAACAAGCACATAACATGTTTTTCTGTCCTCACAGAGGCCCCATCCTTTGCAGAACCCGGAGATGCCATAATGGAGAAAGTAGCGAACAGCAAGGTCATCATCCCTTGCCCTGCTAAAGGTACGAAATGATTCACAGTTGAGTTAGGCTCAGACAGACCGAAAAGAAAAGGGCAATCGAAGGTCTGGAGTTTCGAAGAGACACAATTTACAGTGTGTGAATGAAGTTTTTAGAGCCTAAAAACTATGTGGGTTGTGGGTTTGTTTTTATGACACAAGAGAAATTTCCACTTTAAATGTAGGACAGATATGCGTATTTGTGCACCATCAAAGGATTGTTTCACTGTGAATGTAGACTTTTATTTGCCAAACCAGAAAAAAAGATCTTTGCCATCTTAAAAGGCGTATCCTCTTTTTATCGCAGCACCCAGATGTACACTGTTCTCTCTATATTTTAAAACCTCTGTGTCTGTCTGAAACAAGGTAGCATCCTGGAGGGATGTAGAAAGCTCCCTATTTTATCAAAACACAGTGAGTGTCTGGGAATATCTGCGGGTGCACTGATGGATACTTAATGCTCTGACAGCCCATGCAAACAGGTATTGTATTGTGTGTAGCTGTGTCATGGTTACCAGCATGGTGAGAGGAGGTGAGGGCCGTGTCCAATGTAGAGCAACAGCTGGGACATCAGCCTGCATGTTGCCTCAGTGAGCAACATCTGTTTTCCTCTGCATTGGAGCCTACTGGGAGAGGAATCCTAATTACAGGCTGCTGCTTGCAGATGAAGGACAGATATGTCTGAGGCGCACCTTGAAGCACAGGAACAGGAGGATAAAGCTACACTAGCCCTGATTCCATCCAAGTCATACCGGCAGCCAGGCAGACTGTACCTGGCCACAGAGGGCTCACACGGAAATGCTTGATGCTCTAGACATCCTAGAGAGGCAGCCACAAGCAGGAAACTAGGATCACCTCATTGTTCTCTTGAGATCCATCTGTATGAGGGAGATAAAGTGCAGTCTCTGCCAGAAGGATATTATTAATTCACCAACAAGCACATCACATTTGATAGATGTAATTATTTGAGAAACACATGGAAGAGATAATCTATGACTTCGTCAGCCACAGCAAGTAAATTCAAAGTCTACTAATGAGATCTGTTGACATCTAAAACAGAACATCTGCAGGCATTTCCTCCCAGCAATGAGATAATGAATTTGCTTAGAGCTCCTTAACTGTAAACATGTGTTCAGAGAGGCAACGGACGATAACATCACCTTTTGCTGGTGCTGCGTCTCATTTGGTTAGTATTTTTTTGGATTGAGGAAGGGCGCAGTGTTTGATTTCGCTTCCGGGTCTGTGGTGTTTGTATATGTAACACCTCTGTAAATAGACAGAGCCATGACATTTGGATCACTCTGCTGCACTGATCTTTCTTTGCGACTTGCTGGTTTGTCCTGTTGCTTTGGGTATGAAATTCTCCGTCTTTTCCCCCATTCCACCTTTCTCCATTTGACCATTATCACATCTTTCCCACCCAGTAATCCACAGAACGCATCTGTTTCAGGCTCCTGAGTGTACGCACCAGTGCCTTCGAACTGCTGTTCGACCACTCCTATTTTTAGTGCTCAGGACTGTGTCTGGCAATAAATCTTGATGCTAGTGTTTTAAGCCATGCATCTTACATCTCTCCAGCATACTGTGCCTTACTTTTTAATGTGACCTTGAAGTCTTAAGCTCGCAGGCTACAAGGACCCATTTTGGCAATGTCTCCCCTGCTCTCCCGCTGTCCAGCAGATAAATGTAGAGCCATCTTTTTTTCTAGTCTGGGCCGCTTGCCCATTAAGTTCCCCTGTAGAGAAGCAGAGAGATGGAAGTAACTTTTCTTTCTGTCAGATGTGATCAATAAAGCTCAGTTTATACTCCCTCATAATCCCTTTCTTGTCTCCGCACATGCAGGTACACCTCATCCCAAGCTGCGCTGGTTCAAGAATGGCCTGGAGATACAGCCTGAACAATCAGAGCTTTCTGTGGCGAGGGATGGAGCTCTCGTAATTAGAACAGCGTCTGCCAGCCACAGCGGGGACTTCAAGTGTGTGGCGACCAATGAGGCAGGCTCTGTGGAGAGAAAGACTAGGCTGAAAGTAAATGGTGAGAAATGAGTTACCCTCATTTTTTTCCTCCTAACAAAATACCTTTAGCTGAACTCAAATATAGTGCAAACTCAAATCTTCCTTTTTTCCTTTTGTACTTCTGTAGTTCCCCCACAGATCCAAGATGACGGGCAGCCACTGAACCTCACTGTCACCTTGAAGCAGCCTCTCACTCTGGGCTGCGATGCCTTTGGGATCCCCTCCCCTACTATCACCTGGACTAAAGATGGTCATCCAGTGAGTTCTTTCACCCTGAATTGCCACTTTCAGTTAATGTAAAACTTGGGCTGCATGTTAATATATGATATCTAGCTGTACAATGCCATCAAGTGGCCATTGCTCTAATTACAAAAAGACATCAAGGATGCACTAATCTGATTTTTGTACGACTAGGTGGACAGTCCTGGGGTGTATCTGCAGAATGGGAACAGGCTGCTGAGAATCTACAGAGTTCAGCCAGAACATGCAGGCAGATTTGCCTGCACAGCTCAAAACTCAGCTGGAGAGGCCCGGAGAGAATATCACATTGTTGTGCAAGGTGAGCTCATAAACCAGCTGTCACTGGCTGACACTGGTATTTAGTATGTGAAAGAATAGAGGGGGGAAAAGGCCGATGTAAGGATACCTACTCCATCAAGTACAGAGTTAATAGGGATGTTTTTCTCTTTTTCTAAAGTTTCTTGGAACAGTGGTCTAAAGCTCCCAAAGAACTGTTTAATTAGACTTTTGATAATACAGTTAATGTAGCATACATCCTGAAAGCTGTCATTCCACCAACACCTTCAAAGACTATCCATTACAGTTAATGCAGATGATCTCATTATGTCCCTCCTTTAATATATCTGTTTTAACCTCACAACAGTGATTTTGAATTTGAAGTGATCATTATCTCATTCAGATTTCATAAATACCAAATAGTGTATTTCTGGTGTATGTGCACATACTTACAGCTCCGCCAGTGATCTCAGGAGCATCCCGACTGCAGGACTTAACTGTGGTACTGGGCCAGGAGGTGGAGTTTCAGTGTCGGGTAAGCGGTCGACCAGCACCCAGAGTGGAATGGAGCCGCGACGGAGAGTAAGCATCACTCTCAACAGTTTAATAATGTGACATTCAGCACCACACACCCATAGCATTGATTTGATCCACCACTCCTTCCTCTCTTCAGGGTACTGTCTCGTGACGGAGACCCCCATGTTGAGTTTCTGGAAGATGGCCAGGTGTTGAAGGTGAAGTCAGTAAGACTGAGGGACCAGGGGCTCTACCAGTGTCTGGCCAGTAACAACGCAGGAACTCAGATGCGCCAGTTCAGACTCACAGTGCAAGGTCTCTACTTTATCTAAGACACATACACTTGCAACCACACTGGTCTGAATTCAGCTTGTACTCTCATTTATTTTCTTTCTCCACAGAAAGAAATCTAACAAGGAAGGCAAAAAAAGTCCTTTAAAAGTCATCAGGATATTGAGTGTTGTCTGTCTTTCTCCCCAGCTCCCCCCACCATCAAGGGCCCCAGTGAGACCTCAGAGGTTTCGGTGGTCCTGGGTTTCCCCACAGTCCTCCCCTGTGATGTTGAGGGCTCACCCACACCCAGCATCACCTGGTTGAAGGACAACCAGCCCATCGTGTCCAGTCCCCAGTCGACATACACCCGTGGCGGACAGGCGCTGCGACTGGGCTCAGCACAGGGAGACAGCGCTGGCCTCTATACCTGCAGGGCCACGAATCCGGCCGGCACCGCCATCAAACATTATTCTCTGAGTGTTCTGGGTAAGAGACATCTATGCCACTTACACATTAAAGTGGGTGAGACAGAACTTTTAATGAAACCCCTGTTTTTTTTCATCAGTCCCACCACAGATAGAAAGCGACTCTACATCCTTAAAGTTTGGTGGTCAGGGAGAGAAAGTACGGATCAATGGGAGTTTAACTCTTTCCTGCCTGACTAAAGGTTTTCCAGAGCCCACGGTTAACTGGTTCAAAGACGGACAGGTTGGTGTTTCATCCTTACAAGCTCTGCATCTCTTAAAACCACAAACACGTACTTCTAAGGTGAGAGTAAAGTTGTAATCTCTATCAGCCTCTACTGGCAACCAGTAAGAATTGCAACGGCCTCAACATAATTTACATCCTCTTGCACAAGCCACCTCCACCCTCCAGGTTTTTGTGCTGTGAGTGAGCCAGTTCATCATAACAAAGATGTAGAAGAAGAATCCAGGGATTTGAATATCATGTAAAATACTGTAATGAAACTGCTTTGCCCTGTGTGTTTGTTCCTTGATCTACATGTATTTTTATGTGCAGCTTAATATTGTTAAGCTGCAAGAATATCTTTTTTTTCTCAGGGGGCTACGTATTGTCTTATTGCATGTCTTTTTTGTAAAACACAATACAGGTGGGAAATTGTGTTTTAAAAGCCAGACATTTTATCCCTTGCCAAATGTTTTATTGAGTTAGTAGTACTTGTTATCTAGCCTTTCAAACCCACATCTGATATAGACTGACTACAACACGATATCCGTTGATGTATTTTCTTTGTCTTTAGTTGCTGACTGGAAACCTCCATGCCGGTCTTCAAGAGAGTGGCTTCATCCTCCACATAGAGAACGCCATGCTGTCTCATGAGGGGCAGTACACCTGTGTGGTCACCAACTCAGCAGGAGAGGACAAGAGAGACTTTCATGTCACCATTCAGGGTGTGTTGGGTAAAATCTGCGTATGATATAACCAAATCAGTATCATGATTGGGCGTTCAGTTCAAATTGAAATGCCAACTGCTTTTCACATACTATTTATAAGGTAAATTATTTGGTATAGTGTAGATTTTTTATTGTATAATTAAAATGTTTTGGAATAAATCAAATCTTCAGTAAATAGAAAGTGAACTGACCCAAAGATGCTCTTGTCTTGCTAGTTCCTCCGATCTTTCACCGGGTGACTAACAGAGAAGCAGCCTGGGGTCTCGGACACGAGGATGACGATAATGAGGACATGGTGGAGAAGCGGGAGGTGGTCCTGGGCCATCCAATCAGCCTGTCCTGTGAGAGTAATGCCATCCCCCCTCCCAAGCTCAGCTGGTACAAGGATGGACGAAAACTCACCTCTGCCGATGGAGTGGTACTGCTTCCAGGTCAGAGGGAACTCCTTCCTGTGTGATCTCAGTTAAAAGCAGTAGTGTGGTTGTTATCTATGACGGGGGCATCACATTCATAGATAAGTCTGCTGTTGTACGTTTGTCCTTTCAGGTGGACAGGTGCTACAAATCACCCGAGTGCAGAAAGAAGATGCTGGAAAGTTTACATGTCAGGCTGTTAATGAGGCCGGAGAGGATCGCATGCACTTTGAACTGGAAATCTTAGGTAAGCAAGCACTTGCACATAATGTAGTTGTGAATAAAACATATACATAATATGCAATAAAATGTGTTTATTTGGAAATGATCCAAAATCATTTCTGATACGGATGTCTGTTGTGTTTACCTCCTCAGTCCCTCCTGTGATCATGGGGGCATTAGAGGAGTTCATGGAGGAAGTGGGAGCAGTGGTCAACAGCTCTGTGGTCCTTCATTGTGATGTGACTGGACAACCGACTCCAGTTATCTCCTGGCTGAGAGGCAGGCAGCCGGTGCACACAGACTCACAGCACCAAATCAGTGAGGATGGGACTCGGCTCCAGGTTAATCATTTGACTTTGAGACAAATACCAGCTTGTAAACAGATCTAACCGTGACATGTTATATTGGGGAATAACACTTCAATCCCATCTTTCAGCTCCTAAGTGTCCAGGTTTCAGACATGGCTGGCTATTTGTGTGTAGCTGAGAACAAAGTTGGAACAGTTGAGAAGCTCTTCAGTCTGACAGTCCAAGGTAAGAAAAGTCCATAAGGGCTTTACCACTACTGTATATTCAATTTCCCATCAAGGGGACCAATACATGTGTTTTGGGTTATTTATAATATATGTTATCGGATTTCCTTTTTTTTGATTCGTCTTTTAAGTCTACAAAACATTGTTGTATCTCTTTCAGTGCCTCCTAGAATAATTGGCGTTAAGGAGGAGGACGTTAGTGTGATTGAGGGCCACATGGTGTCAATGCTTTGTGACGTCCAAGCGTACCCTCCTCCAGAGATCACCTGGACCAGAGATGGGCAGGTCCTCCACTTCAACACCGGTATCCACATTCTGCCAGGTCAGATCACGGCCACCCGTGATACCCAAATAATTCTTAAGTCAGGAGCATTTCCTTTGTTTGAATCTAATAATGGCCCAGATGGAACATTTCATATCATAATATACTGTATCTATATATTATAGGCGGCCAGATGCTTCAGTTGCCCCGGGCAAGACTGGAAGATGCTGGGCAATATGTATGCACAGCCACCAACTCAGCAGGCCAGGACCAGAAGAGCATTCTCCTCAGTGTTTACAGTGAGCATACATATGGTGACCCATCTGCACAATTCAGCTACATATACAGATGATCAAATCTCAAACATGGTCTTGGCTGAAAAAAAATCTGTTTACCGCAAGCCAGCTGTGGCCGAGGATAGTTCAGGAGTGAATCATAGCGATTCTGAATGAATCAAACTGAGATCATGGCCCTGTCTTTATGTGCTTCAGTCCTGCCCACCCTGAAGCCCCGTCTAGATGTCGAGTCAGACTTGATCACCCCGCAAGTTGGCTCCTCGGTCACCTTGCGATGTGAAGCACATGGTGTTCCTGAGCCTGAGGTCACATGGTACAAGAATGGGCTGCAACTGGCCGCAGGGAACGGGCTGAAGATGGATCCTCACCAGCTGGAGATCATAGGAGTTCAGGTCAGGAGAAAATGCTTTTACGTCATACGTTTGAGGCTGCAAACAAAGTCTTTTAAGGACTCAAAGTGGCTTTTGACAGTACTGATTTTCAGACTTTCCACACAACATAATTACCTGTTTAAGGCTTACGCACATTCATTCCACAAAATACACAGATTTGAAAAGACTAGGAAAACTGGAGACTTGACTGCATTTGTGGTGCAGCACTGGCCCTTTCTCTGATGATGTCTATTCTAAGTTGGTTTACCAGATTTAGAATGCATGCACCAGCTAGCATAGCAGGAAGGAGACACTTTTTTGCCTATAGCTTGTACTCAAGATGCACCCTCTGTCACCACACTGACCTTCTTTTTTGGTTCCTAGATGGCAGATGGTGGCACCTACACATGCAAAGTATCCAATGTGGCTGGACAGGTGGACAGGGCATTCAGACTGACCATTCATGGTGAGAATATCTCTTCTATCTAACACTTTAAACAACTTCGTTCAAAAGGGAGTGGTTTTATTCTTCAAATATATGTCCACAGTTCCACCTGTCCTGGACGGGCCTCTGCTGGAGTCCCTAAACTACACCCTTGGCTCCCATGTGGCCTTGCTGTGTGAGGCCTCAGGGGTCCCTGTGCCCAGCATCACCTGGCTCAAGGATGGAACTCCTATTGGTAGGAGGGAGGCAATGATAGTGGGATTGGAATAGTATGTGCCATGTGTGACGGCGAGTGTAAGTGATTGTGTTTGCTGTCCAGAGAGCAGTCTGCAGTGGCAGTGGTCCGTTCGAGGGAATAGGCTGGAGCTGGGGCCCCTCACTCTGTCTCATGCTGGAACATACACCTGTGTGGCCAAGAACAGAGAGGGACACACACAGAAAGACTACACACTCACAGTGCAGGGTAAAGAGAAATAAAAAAATTAAGAACAAAATGATACTCAACCTAGAAAATTCTACATTCTATTCATAAAAGTAGTGATTTTCGGTGGCATTTAGCTGTTATCTTTGTCCTACTTAGTATCGCCTACCATCTTGGACTCTGAACGCCCATCTGATGTGAGTGCACCCATGGGCGAGGAGCTGACCCTGGAGTGCAGAGTAACTGGAATCCCCACACCACGTCTTAGCTGGCTGAAAGACGGAGTGACTTTAGACGGATCAGACGCCCGTCACATCACGTAAGTCATTCACATTCTCCATTTACTGCCAGGGCTTTAAATGCACACAGAATGGTATGAAGCAACAGTACTGATAATACATTTTTCTACACAAGCATCACATGGATCAACGGCATTCCCTATAGATTTGGAAAATAAGATATGAATCATCGTCAAAGATAATGTCCATGAGCGAGGGATGTGTGGACAGACAAATGGAGTCGTTTATAGTCTCTTGGCTAATTTCATCATGAAGAGCAGCTGTTTTTCAGCTGTTCAGCAGCTTCTGTGGTCATTGCAACTGAATCAGCCAGAGAAAGTGTGTGTGTGTGTGTGTGTGTGTGTGTGCGTGTGCGTGTGTGCGTGCGTGCGTGCGTGAAAATCGTGAGACGATGATGATAATGATGGGAAAATAATAACGTTCAGTGAAAATAACAGGGAAAATGGATCAAGTAGCATGGTGTTAATGTGAAAACATCTGTATTTGTAACCTGGCAGTGTGACCTCGGATGGCAGCACTCTAACATTACTGAGGTTGACTCCCGAGGATTCTGGGACATACACCTGTTTGGCTGTCAGCCCGGCTGGACAGGAGAGCAAAATCTACACCCTCTTCGTACTAGGTCAGTTTGAACATTTTGCAGATGTGTTTCTGTGTTAGTGTATATGTTTCTGAAGATTTGTATTCATTTGATTTGACTCGTCACAGTCCCACCATCCATCTCTGGTGAGACCACTGTCCCCAGAGAGCTGCAGGTCACACAGGACAGTGTTGTGACTCTGGAGTGTCAGACAGCAGGAAACCCTCCCCCTCAGATCAGCTGGCTGAAGAACGGACGTCCTCTGCTTCTCTCTCCTCGTACACGCCTCCTATCTGCTGACTCTGTGCTGAGGTCAGTTTAGAGAGAGAAAGCCAAATACAAACGAGATCAATGGTAAAGAGATTAAATGTTTATAGATGAGATAATGCTAAGTGTTCCCTTTTCCTTTATGAAAAAGGATTTCCCTTGTCCAGCTGTCTGACTCTGGACTTTACACATGCGTGGCACGCAGTCGAGCTGGTCTTGCCGAGCTCAGTTATGATCTCCAGGTCCAAGGTACAGTAATAACATACCACGTACTGATTTTCCCTTGAACAGATCTTTTGGATCTGAGGGTTTTATTCAGATGTTATGTGTGTGTGTGTGGTCCGCAGTGCCCCCTGGTGTGGATCAGGTTGAACCAGTGGAGCCAGTTACAGTAGTCCAGGGGTCCTTGGTGACGTTAACCTGCGAAGCGCGCGGCGTTCCCCCTCCGACACTGAATTGGTTGAAGGACGGCCAGCCACTTTCTCTTCACCGCAACTTGCTGCTGGATGGACAGGAGACACGGCTGCAGCTGCCTGATGTAGCGCCTTCAGATGCGGGCCTCTACAGCTGCGTGGCTAGTAACCAGGCTGGAAGCAGCACAAAGAGCTTTAACCTCACTGTGCTCGGTAATCCCAAACACAATCTGTATATTAAATGTAAAGTGTTAAAGAGTGTAAACTCCTTGAACCACTGAGCCAAAACACTCTGCTTTTTAATCCAGAGCCTCCAAAGATATCCAGCTCCAGTTCTCCAGAAGAGCTGACCATCGCAGTAAATAGTCCACTGGAGCTGGAGTGCTCGGCTGTGGGAGCCCCACCTCCCACCCTCAGCTGGCTCAAAGATGGCCGCCCTTTGGAAGGAACTGACATTGTTCAGCAGGATGGACACTTTGTCAGGATACTCAAAGTTCAGGTAAATTACAAACGGACAATATCTGATGATATTGCAAATTTAAAGCTGCAGTAGTCAATTCATACATAGAGTAGCTGTGAGCACATGCACTATTTAGAATAAGGAATAATTGTGTAACTTTCTGCAACGGTATTTTCAGGATAAAGCAGGTTGCTGAGGTTTTTAGAAAGCACCTAATGTGCCTGTTGCAGCATTAACATGTCCAGTCTTTTCACAGAAAGACGAAAGGCATGTGAAATGAAGCTAAACGATTATGTTTACTTGTATGTAATGCAATGTTCTTAATAGGTTGTTTATATGTGAGGTGTACATTATAGCTATAAAAAATATGCACAAAAGCATGAGCTTTAATCTGTATACCTAAAATCAGATTTAAAAACAATTGCAAGAGTGAAGTTTTAACAGGATCAATCTACGCAAATACAGCATTGTTATGCAAGAACCACTCAAGCTGATTAATGTTGTCTCTTTAAAGGTTGAGGATGCAGGTCTGTACACTTGCTTGGCCAGCAGCCTAGCTGGAGAGGATGGAAAAAACCACTGGGTCCGAGTCCAAGGTGACACAAGCTGTTCTTTCACGTTGTTCAACTTGGAAGACATACATCATGCCCCCCCCTCTCTCTCTCTCTTAACTTCCTGTCTAACTTGCACCTGGGACTTGATGGATAAAGCTCTGTGTACATTCTAAAGTAATAATCGGTGTTTGCACAAAAGTAAAAACAGACTTGGTCTGGCATTAACATTTTCCAGCTACGGTCATGCACAGTTATGCACGCAATATGAGGTATATACGTACATTAAAAAGCCATTTTCATGTGTGTTGATTGATGACACAGACCTCTTTGATTTATGATACATTGTGCAGCATCCTTATCCAATTTCACCATTTGTTCTTGCTGGAATAAAATGGTGCCTCTTGAAATATAATAACACGCAATGCTGTTGAGACATACTGCTGAGATTAATGCTCCAAGTAAAATTCTTAAATTCATGATGTAAACCTCTTTCTTTGGATTGTTACGACATACCCAACTCAGGCAACATTAAATCATATGTAGTGAAACACATTTTTACAGCACATCCGTCTTTATAAATTTTGCACTGTGTGGAAAGCTAAGGATGTATTTTTCAGTGCAAACACAAGGGTTGGCTTCTGATCTACTGCCTGACTTTATCTCTTCCACATGTTTTTAAATAGCAGCACTTGTAGGATGAATTGTTCGTCACATTATTCAATCTGGGTGCTTAAGCGTGTGCCATCACTGTAAACGATTTGTAAATTGCCTGAGTGAGGTCCACCGCTTTGTAACCAGTGGTTGTGTTTCAGTCCCACCCACCCTCCTTGGCTCTGGTGATGTGAGGACATTGACAGTGCCAGTTAATGGACATCTGACCTTGGAGTGCCTGGCTGACAATGACCCCCCTCCCGATATCGAGTGGTACAAAGATGAGGCCAAGCTGCAGGTACGGAGTCAAAATCAAAAACAGGTGTTGAACTAGAAACTATGTCCTCTGACTCACACATTTTCCCTCCCTCCTCTTGTTATATCAGCTTGGTAGTCGTATCCAGCGACTGGCAGGGGGTCAGTACCTGGAGATACAGGAAGTCAGGCCTGAGGACAGTGGCCAATACAGCTGTGTGGTCACCAACATAGCTGGAAGCACCAGTCTGTTTTTCACTGTGGAGATTCTCTGTAAGTCGGCCTGTCAATAATGATATTATTTTGAATACATTTTTTAAATAGTTCTACATGCTAAACCAAAGCACCTACATGGATCTGTCACTTTTAATTTCTCTAGTGCCACCAATTATAAAGGAGAGCAGCTCAGTGGTGACTGTACATGTTGGCCAGGATGCGGTTTTACCTTGCGAAGTTGAAGATGACACTTCAACTGTGATCATGTGGAGGAAAGATGGCTTCCCCGTAACTCAAGATAACGATAAGTAGGTCCTAACGTATTCCTGCGCAATCTGTCCTTGTTATATTTTACTTTTCCGCATGTAAAACGAAAAACATAGACACAGCTACACACTGTGGTGTGTCTATCCATTCATTTTTATTTTTTTTTTAAATTGTGTACTTGTGTCAGGTACACAATGTTGTCAGAGGGCTCCCTGCGTGTGCATGCGGTTCAGTTGAGTGATGCTGGTCGCTACTACTGCACTGTGTCCAACCAGGCTGGCTCAGACCACCGCGGAGTGGATCTACGGGTGTTTGGTAAATATAGCAAAGAAAAACAAAAAGTTACTCTATAACTCTGGAGGTGCTTTTTCCCTAATTTTATCATCACACATGGGTCTCTGTGTTGGTTCTGGTTAGGATTATAGTGCAACTGTCTTGCTTAAATACTTTTTAGGATATCTTATAGTGACTATAAGCACACTGAAATACAGGACTCTGGTCAACATACGTGAATCTGTTCTGTGTCCTATCAGTGGGTCCTTCAATCAGTCCGGGTCCATTCAATGTGACAGTAACCACAGGGATTAGAGCTGTGCTGAGCTGTGAGACGACAGGTATACCTCCGCCTGAAGTAACCTGGAAGAGGAACGGCACTCCCCTCGATATCAGCCAGCAGCCAGCTGCATACAGGTAAATACAAAGCTATGGTTGGACTAATTTTGAATACAAAATATGCACACATTAGGAATCACAGCCATTAAAACTTAAAAGCTGACCACATTGTGCTGTTCTGTCTAGGTTACTGTCCTCTGGGTCCCTGGTTCTTTTGACACCGTCCGATGAGGATGAAGGTTACTTTGAGTGCACCGCTGTCAATGATGTTGGGGAGGAGCGCAGGGTCATTGAGGTCATCCTGCAAGGTATTGATTTGGTTCTTTGTACAATAAGCAGACAGTAGTGAGTCATTTCAGATGATTGAATTGATGAATTTGCTATTTTCTCTTTTAGTCCCACCATCTATTGAAGACGATGTCACGACAGTCACGGCTGTTAAAATGTCTCCTGTGGTGTTGCCTTGTCACGTACAAGGACGCCCTCAGCCCACTGTCACCTGGACCAAGGGCAGTGCCAAACTGGGTGCCAGAGGAGGAAGTTATCGTGTCCTTCCCACTGGTAAGACAACATGTCTAAAGGCTTTTTAAATTAGTATGCATCATGGTAAACTGGAACAAACTACCACAGGGCATGGAATATATTTTTGCTCACTAAACTATGTATGTGATTCATTGCAATGCAGGAGTGTTGGAGATAACTGCTGCCGTGCCAAGCCATGCTGGCAGGTACACATGCTCAGCCCGCAACCCAGCTGGAGTGGCTCACAAACACATCTCTCTCTCCGTGCAAGGTAGGCTTTACTAGATAGCCGCATGTTACTGTGTAAACACTATGTGTTTGAACACATACAGTATGACAACACATGTAAATATATGTATATAACAAGGGATTTGTTCTTCTATGTATTTAGAACCCCCAGAGATCAGGCCAATGGCAGAGGAAGTACAAGCAGTGTTGCATCATAGGACCGTTCTGCCCTGTGACGTTCAAGGCTTCCCCAGACCTTCCATCACCTGGCAAAGAGAGGGAGTTCCCATAGCAACAGGTAATGACATATAAAACCCAAACACACCACTTATTGTACAAACGTATTGTTACGTTACGGTAGATGCTGGCATTTGATATCTGTTTAAGGAGTTTCAATGAGGTCTGTGGCTGTTTTTTGTGAGAACATTCTTCATACTTTCATTATTATCAGATCCCTGTGATCCCTGTGAGCAGGTCTCACTGTAATTCAGGGGACATGATCTGATTTTCATGCTCATGTGATGTGACTTTATTGCTTGATTACAGGTCACAGGCTCGCTGTGCTCTCAAATGGAGCCCTGAAGTTTTCTCGTGTCACACTTGGTGATGCGGGGACTTACCAGTGCCTGGCAAAGAGTGAAGCTGGAGTCGCTGTTGGCAGGACCACACTAGTCCTTCAAGGTATTTATGGACTTTCAATCTCACAGATTGGAACAAAATGGTAATATCTCTGTGTTTGTTTCTAGTAGTCAAACTGGTTGTTCCTAATTCCTAAAAAAAAGTATTTTTGACATCTATAAATTAATTAATATAAATATATAATTAATCTTGTGTTCTCCCAGTGCCCCCCGTGCTGAGTGTGCCTCGGGTCGAGTACACTGCAGTGCTAGGCCAGCCAGTCAGTCTGGAGTGTGTGGCTGATGGACAGCCGCAACCTGAAGTTGCTTGGCTCAAGGAGAGAAGGCCTGTGATTGACGGCACTCATATACATATCTTTGCCAATGGAACCTTGGCAATTACTTTTACCCAGCGCAGTGACGCAGGCCTGTACACATGTACTGCCAAAAACATCGCCGGCAGAGCCAGCCACGACATGAGGCTGGCTATTCAAGGTAAGTTAAGAGAGCATTTTCATATCATTTAAAGACTGAATATAGCAGGTTTATGTTGTATTAAAAAAATAAAACGATGTTGTTGCTTGTTTCAGTCCCGCCCATGATTCCTCCTGCGCAAACAGACCTGTCAGTCATTCAAGGATTTCAGGCGCTGCTGTCTTGTGCTGCTCAGGGTTCACCAGAGCCCAGAGTGACATGGGAGAAGGACGGTGCCATTGTGCCCAACCTTCCAGGCAAATTCACTGTCCTGCGATCCGGAGAGCTAATCATTGAGAGGGCTGAGGTTAGCCTGAGTATTCTTCACTGCATTACAAACCACCGTCTCTTTCTAGTTCTGGGCATACAAATCAGTTGTGGTTGCTTTCTTCTCACAGCCAGGGGATGCTGGCGTGTTTACATGTGTAGCCACGAATGCAGCAGGCTCTGCGAGACGAGAGATCCGCCTGTCCATCAACATGAGGCCTGCCTTCAAAGAGCTGCCAGGTGATGCAACGCTGAACAAAGGGCAGAGGCTGGCCTTGTCCTGCCACGCTCAGGGAACACCGTCTCCTGTCATCTCCTGGACTGTCAACAACAGTCCTTACACAGGTATTCGCTTGCTTTACCTGGTGAGCTTCACTTAAATATTACCAAAGTATTACAGTGCGATTGTGAAAAAAAATCACATCAAGGTGGCATCTTCTGTAGATCGTAGTAGGATGAAATAACAATCAATCTTGTTTAATCTGACCTGTGTTATGCACTGACTGATTAAACACATTCCAGGTGCCACTGTAGATGAGGCTGGCAGGAGCTCCGTGATCGTTGAGAATGTGACCATGACTGACGCTGGGACCTACGTGTGCATAGCAGAAAACAGCGTGGGCTCCATCCGAGTGCTCTCGTTTGTTCATATCAGAGGTGAGCTTCTTTTCAAGGATTATTCGGGGCTATCCGTTTAAAGGAACAGTGTGTGACATTTAGGGGGATTCATTGGCAGCAATGGAATATATTATTCAGAACTGTGTTTTAATCATCGTAGGGTTTTCGCTAGCTTAGAAATACAAAAGCAAAAAGCAATTATTTTGTCATGTAGAAAAGCAGAGTATTGATAAGAGTAGCTTCTAGTTGTACTAAAATCCTGAAGATAACTCTCTCAAATCTGAAGGCCGCCATAGTTCTCCAAAACTCTTGGAAAGGGAGGGCTGAGCTGAGGGATATTTAGTTGGGTGCAATCTGCAACACAATACTGCATGCACCTAAATCTCACACACTGGGCCTTTAACTTTCTACAGATACCGTACTGATATCACCTTGATGAATATGTGCCGTGTGTCTCCAGAGCCTCCGGTGTTGAAGGGTGAAGCTATCATGTCTCAGACGGTCATCCAGGGTGGCTCTGCTGTGCTGGACTGTCCAGTCCACGGAGACCCCAGCCCAGTGCTCCGCTGGCTTCGGGGTGGAAAACCATTACTCCGCTCCGTCCGAATGCAAGCGCTTCGCAACGGATCCTTGGTCATTTACAGCATCACTGTAAATACAGAGCTCCCTTTATGATTTGTTGTGTATTTCCTACAATTTAATGCAGCTCTCTCTTGACAAGTTTTGTTCAACCAAGTTTGAATGATTGAGCCCCCTTGAGCAAACTACTTGCATCAAATATTTCATGTCTTGTAGAACAATGGAGCAGTATTCCTCCTATCCATGCTTCATCTGCAGTCCCCTTGGGTGGATGGACATTGTATGACTGTCCTGCAGCGTTCCCACCTAAATCAGATTCAGTTCAGTCAGAAAGGCTAACAGCATTAGCAACAGAGGAAGGAGATGAACAGAGAGCTGGATGTTCCCAGACTCTCCCCCTCTTTCCTTCGCCTGTAACCTTGTTAGGTCTCTAAATGCTGCTGTAATTGCATAGCCTGCAGTTGAGATTTTCTCACAGACAGATGACCGTCCTTCCCACGGAGCACTCTAATGTGAAATTTCCCCTCTCCGGCCCAGTAATATCTATTATGACAAAGAATTCAATGGAATAAAGTCTCAACTGGCCAGTAGAAAAAGACAGTTTTTTTTTTTTTTTTGCTTTAATGTCAGTTTTCTGTCACCGTGAAACTATATGTGATCGAAGACACAGTTTTGTTTTGGAGCTTTGTGGCCCCATCAGGGGGGGAAATTGTTCCTCAGGGTGCCAATTAAGCCAAACTCTCCTCCTCTACCTGTTTGATCTACAGGCTGCAGATGAAGGGGAGTACCAGTGTGTGGCTGAGAGTGAAGCTGGAACAGCTGAGAGGACCATTACGCTCAAGGTTCAGAGTGAGTTCTGTGGTTATAATAACACACATTGTCATGGGATATGAAATTAATTAGAAAGATATACACAACTACACATGCCAGTAGCCTCTCTGAGGTTGGCTGGCTTCCCTTTCTAATAACTATTTCAAATAACTAGTTTTGCCAGACCTCCACATATTCATGCATTTTGTCTTCTTCTCATTGTGAAATTTTGGTTGTGTTTTTTGTCACTTTTTTTCCTACCTTCTTAGATATTTTACAAGCTCATTGTTTTGTTTTTTTTACAAATGATCTAGACTCAAAACTCTGCTGTCTTCTCTGCTTCTCTCTCTCTCTCTATCACAGTCAATGGAGGCTACTCGAACTGGGAGGAATGGGGCCCATGTAGTAGCACCTGTGGACAAGGCTTCCAAGAACGAATCAGATTATGCAACAACCCAGAACCAACCAATGGGGGCCGATCATGCAGCGGTCCCGGTATCGACTCTAGGAAATGTCAAAATGGTCTCTGTCCAGGTATGAATACATTGTTGTTATTATGTTTTTGGAACATCCATCCGGTCCATTCTCGTAAACCTCGGACGCCTGGAGGGAATTTCTTTAAATTTGCCACAAACAACCACTAGGTCAGGATGAACTGAATAGATTTTGGTGGTCACAGGTCACTGTGAACTCACAAAACACGTTTTTGACCAAAATTCAAGAATTTATCAGGTCATTTTGACAATTTCACACAAATAGGATAAATTGACGAAGTGATACAATTTTGAACAGACATGGATGTAAACTGCAACTTGACAGGATGTCGGAGGCATACAACTGCTAGGTTTGTCCTCATTCACTTTTGACAGAATATTTTATTTAACTTTATTGCTTTGTTTCATAATTTATGACAACAATACGATCCTGGTCAAGCTCTTGTGTGTACGAATGAACAGAATATTCTGAAAGTTACCTTACAGACAGTGTACACACATCAAAAGGACATTCATGAACGTGGGCTATTATTGCAGTATCTGTAAAGAGATACATGGCACATTCATTTATTTTATTTATTTACTTATTAAATAGGGACAGAGCACGTTAATGAACATCATTATAAAATACAAGATTTGAAAGAATTTTGCTGGAATTAGCAAAAATGCAGATTTGCATCCGTCGTCCCTAGGCAGGTAACAAAAACAGTCCATGTATCAACTCAAAGGTAATGTTATGAATTATTCAAGTGCATGTCTTTTTGGTGATGAAAGGAGAGACTCCTCGCAGGACCAGAGGCAGCCTGATAGGCATGGTGAACGAGAGAGAGTTTGGTGTGTCCTTCCTGGAGGCCAACATTACAGACAATGTTGAAGAGGGGAGCAGCACTCTGCAGGCACACCTGAACAACATCCCTCCCAGTGTGGGTGAGTGATAGCACCTTATGGCCCCAGGGTTGATGTCACATGTCCAGAGAGAAAGGTCTCTTGAGTCATTGTTGTGCGTGTTGTAACAGTCAAGTGTGTAAACTAAATTGTGGGACAATCCAACATGTTCTTGGAATAGAGTTACTCACTTTTTAAATTTGCACAGTATAGGTTCGATTGAAATAATAGGATGCAAAATAGTAAACTCTACTGATCTAAAAAAGGTTTTTTACTTAGACTTTCAGTTTCAGGGAAACTCTGGAGTTTGTCTCTTTCCATGATTTTTGTAAATAAGAAGTGAAAACAGGAGATTGTTTTTGGGATGTGGTCCTAATCTTGTGTAGACTGCATGCACTGTATGTCTTTGGCTTTGTTTGAGGCCAAGAGCTGAACCCGTTTCGTTATAGGTCCCTTGCTGCGAGTGCTGGTGTCTGCGTTTGCTCCCATGTACTGGACCACTGTTTTGCAGAGCGGAGCAGCCAGAAATGGCTACTCTCTCACTGAGGGCCAGTTCAGGCAGGAGTCCCAGCTGGAGTTTGAGACTGGTAAGTTCTGCAATAAATCAGTTCTACATGTATAACAGGTTTTAGCCGATGGATATTACAAGCTTATGATTTATTTAAGGTAACTTATATTCCGAGAAGGTTTTTTGGAGCTTGGCCAGTTGCTCAACTGATCTGTTACATGATGAAAATATTGCATCTAAAATCATGCAGATAGATACAGTATATCACTTTGCAACAGACACACACTTAAGAGTCAGAATTTTTTATCTGTGATCAATGATTCTCTCTGACTGTTCTTTGTAGTTTGCTAAACAACCAGCAGATGGCACCACTGACATTACTTTAGTTTACACATGAAGGCTATTACTTGTAAATAGTTTAATCACGCTCTTGTGTGCTTGTAAATTTCTTATCTCTTTAAACAGGGGAGATCCTTCGTTTGACCCATGTTGCCAGAGGTCTGGATTCTGAGGGAGTTTTATTAATTGATATCGTGATTAACGGATTTGTGCCTCCTTCATTATCATCATCTCATCTGAGCCTACAAGTGAGTTCACTGCTGTCATTATGATGTGAATTTACTAACATACCTCACGAGAGAGTTTGATGACATACATAAGATCCTCTCTCATTTCTCTGACCGTATTTCCTTTGTGTCCCTCAGGAGTTTGATGAGTCATATGTGCAGACGGGCCAAGGGCAGCTGTACTCGTGGTCATCGCAGACCCACCAGAGAGGAGGAAACCCCATGGTGCTGCGCTGCAATCACACAATTATTTACGAGGGCCAGGAGGAGCGCCAGGGCCCTCTGCTCCAACTGCTCAAGGTCTCCGGGATGAACAGCGTCTACAACATGTTCACTCTCACTTTGGACTTCCATATCACTGCCAGCCTCCTCATTCCAGGTCTGGGGAGAATTGCAATGATTTAAAGTTCATTTAAAACACTATTGCTTCATCACATAAAAATGCTGGATCTGAATATTGAAGCAGCTATGAACTGAACTGTTCTGTTTGCAGATGGTTATGAAGACACTTGCCCTAAAGGTTTCACTGTTGACACAGCCTCCTACTGTGCTGGTATGCTCTTTCCTTTTTTTTTTTTTTTTTTTTTTTTTTTTTTTTTAAATGTCTCATACATCTTTGAACAGTTGTCCGTTTACCAGTTTTAATATTATGATTCAATGTGTCCTCATTAGATGAAGATGAGTGTGCGCTGCAGTCTCCCTGCTCCCACTCATGTAACAACATCATGGGAGGCTTTTCCTGTGCCTGTCCCTCTGGCTTTACCATCTCTACGGAAACCAACACATGCCAAGGTAAGACAAAAAAAGTGTTTTGGGGAAAAATTACCAGATATACAATGGTAATGGTATAAATTATCTTTGTCATCTTCATCTAATCCATTTGGCCTTACACTTGTGTTTCACTTAAAACCAGATATTGACGAGTGTTCCCAGGGCTCACACATGTGCCACTACAACCAGCAGTGTGTCAACACAGTGGGCACATATCGCTGCCAGGCCAAGTGTGGACCAGGATTTAAGCCCAGCATTACAGGAACCAGCTGTGAAGGCAAGTCACTCTGAATCACTGTTAAAACTGTCTGTACAACATTTCATACATAACATAACAACTTATCTTCAACTGCAGCTGTTGTGCCGTTCCTCTTTTTTTTTGTTGAATCCAATTATATTTGTTTCTGCAATAATCCATTAAGACAACTGTCATTTCCACGCATACAGTATGTTGTACAGTATACCGGATGTACACAGCAGATTGATGAAGATGTGTCAATTGTGTGTTCCAGATGTGGATGAGTGCCAGGAGTCTGCTCTCTCCCCATGCCAGCATCAGTGTCTCAATACTCTGGGCTCCTTCCGCTGCATCTGTCACCCTGGGTACCAGCTGTCAGGACATCGCTGCCTCGGTCAGTGACCTTAACTTGGTGGGACTCCCACAGGTTATTAAAGGGACAATTCACAAAAATAAACATGTTTCCTCGTACGTGTATGAGTTGCCTAACTGCTCACAACAAGGTCTGTGGATTATCTTGAGTTACATGGTCATGATTTCTGGAAAAAGACATTGCTGTTGTGTTTTCCAAATGTATTTTTTTGAGGCCTAACAGCTCTGTTGCAATGATTGCACTTTCACAGACATCAATGAGTGCATGAGAAATGTCTGCCCGGCTCACAAGGAGTGCCGCAACACAGAGGGAGGATACCAGTGTTTCGACAGCTGCCCAGCTGGCATGACCAAATCGGAGAATGGAGCCTGCATGGGTTAGTGGCTTATATCCACTCTCTTTAGTTGCTAAATATAGCATTAAGTCATGATTTCATTCACTTCGAGAAACAGCATGAAGTCATTTATGTCTTGAAGGGCTCAAAGAAGACAACTCTTGTGAGTTAACAGATTAATTTATCCTTGGACATTGAACATATGACAGTTGGTAGAATAAGCTGGTCTTGTCTGCATTATTATAATCGGCGGAAGCCAACAGGTCTACTGGTGATAGTATTGGCAGCTTCTAAAGACCTCCACACTGCATTTTACATTGCGTAACACCAGGTCAGATTTCACAGGATTACTTCAGGGCACAAAACAGCAAGAAGTCGCTGCTTGTTCTTCACAAGGAAAGCTAAAGCTTTTGTATAAAAGTCTATTAATTGGTACTTATAAAGAGGATCTTTACGTCTTCGGTCAAGGGTTTTCTCTAACAGGAAGCAACACAGTTAATGATAGTGTGGTCTTCATTTGAGGAAACTCTATAGTCCCAATAGCACCACTGGTATGAGATAGAGGCTACCACCATCCCAAGTTACTAAAGGTATCACAGTTAAGGTCAGTCTCAGCATTTTAAAAAGTTTATCAAGTTTATCAAAATAATTACAGGAGAGACAAATGTAATGCTGAGGTTTGGTGGTGATATATTGTTGTTTACTGATTATTTTTCAGATGTTGACGAGTGCCAGGATGGAAGTCACATGTGTCGCTACACTCAGATCTGTCAGAACACAATCGGAGGTTACGGTTGTGTGTGTCCCAGAGGTTACCGATCCCAGGGAGTAGGCCTGCCATGTCTGGGTAAGACATCTATGCCTGTTTTATAATTCAACTCTCCAATGACACTCACACATGAGAATTTACTTGACCCGTGTTCTACTTTGTAGACGTTAACGAGTGCCAGCAGACACCAAACCCTTGTGCCTACCAGTGCCGCAATGTGCCTGGCAGCTTTAGGTGCCTGTGCCCTCCCGGTACTGTGCTGCTTGGAGACGGGCGCTCCTGTGCGGGGCTGGAGAGAGGGCAGACCTTCACCAACGGCACCAGAGTCAGAGCAAGACTCCGCCCACAGCTGGTGTCGTCTGTCGGCAGGCCGATCCTCTCCCGTTCTCACGGAGTGTCTCGCATCACCAGACAGAGCTGTCCTGTGGGCTACACCAACAGAGGCGGCACATGTGTTGGTGAGTGTGTATCAAAACTATCAAATACGGCATAAGTCCACATCATACCATCTTGTCAACCTCTTGATTCTCAAACATTATTCTCCGTACAGATGTAGATGAGTGTCTGCTCAGAAAGCCATGTCAACACGAGTGCCGAAACACCATTGGCAGTTTCAAGTGCCTGTGTCCCCCTGGTTACCAGCTCTTACCCAATGGCAGGATCTGTAAAGGTAAGAGCTTCATTAAACTGTAACTATAAACTTCTTCCTCCCTTTATATTATTGCAGCTAAGGTCCTATCCCCTTTCTCTACCTCTAGACATTGATGAATGTGTAGATCAAGGCATCCAATGTGGACACAATCAGATGTGTTTTAATACCCGAGGGGGATACCAGTGCCTGGATACTCCCTGCCCTGCATCCTATCAGAGTGGACGAAGCCCCGGGTAAATTGCATGAATTGCAAGTGTAAATACAATAATTAGGCTGTACATGCTGCAATTATGACTGCAATATTTTGTAGCTATGAAATATTTTTAATACTAATGTGTCAGTGGCACTTTCCTGTTGACCTTTAAAGGACGTGCTACAGGCCCTGCTCTCTGGACTGCGCCGCAGGAGGCTCTCCTCTGCTCCTGCAGTACAAGCTGCTCACTCTCCCCTCTGGCATTCCGGTCAATCACAATGTGGTACGACTTTCGGCTTTCTCAGAGTCAGGCGTCCTGCAAGAGCGTACGTCTTTTACCGTACTTGAGCAAGAATCGGTGACGGGTGTAATGGGCCGGGTGTTTGGCATCAGAGACGAGGCAGGCAGGGGGATCATCTTCACTCTGCGGGCTCTGAACGGACCAGGACTAGTGCGCCTCAAGGTGCAGGCCACCACCATCTCCCTGCAGGGCCGCATTACCTATCAGAGCATCTTCATTATCTACATCTCCATCTCGACGTACCCATACTGAGCCACTGCTCAGCTTTACAGATGACTCTGCCTCCCAGTGGCCTTCGGATGCCTCTTACCCACAAGGCATTTCCCCCCCAAACCCTGTGCCTCGGACACATTAGGCCACGCAAAGAAGCTCTAACATACAAGAGAAGGTGGACATGGTTAGTAAGTGGATCTCATGAAGATGGATACCCTCATCTGTGACTGAAATGTCATGGTGGAAAACGTCCTGTTAAATGTTCACTAGGTTCTGTTGAATTAATCATAGAGCAGAACCTACTCTGTTGAAGAATTCTGAACTGAGAAACATGCTGGATGAACAAAATATTTAGTTTATTCCCTAAATGCCCTATTTGGGGAAAACATATTTCTAATCATTATCTGAAAAATGCAGAATGCAAAAAAATGTAACGTCAACCAAGCTCTGAAGTTATTTAGTATCCATCAGGAACTACCAATTTATTTTTGTTCTGCTTTCTATCATTGTGTTTGTTTACTTTACAATGTTATCTTATTCTGGGACAGATTCATTCTTATATGAAAAAATGTTTGCAGCCGGTAATACAAGTCTTTCAACAGTTATGAAATTGTAAAATTTTTGCCCCGCTATTTTAATTTATTTAAGTCATTTGTACACATCAGTCTTTCTAGCTAGCGACATTGATTCATCTGTCGTTCGTGTTTTTGTACTCTTTTTATAACATTTTTATCACGTGTGACAGTTTAACGGTGCTAATCTGAATGTACTTGAGTGTTTTAAATACTCTCCACAGAGTTGGACTACACTTACAGTTTCTGGAGTGTAGCATTAGCTATAACATGGCACGTCTTTCCTGCATTCATGACACTATACACTAGAGCTTTAACGACTAGCTGACCAATCGAGTAGTTAATCGAAAGAACAGCAATCAGCAACTATTTTGACAATCAATTAATTATTAAAGTCATTTTTCATGCAAAATGGCAGAAGATGCTGTTCAGCCTCTCAAAAATGGAGTTTTCCTGCTTTTTCTGTTTTGTATTATATTAAACGTATTGTTTTGTGGTTTTGGACGGACAAAAAAAGACATTTAAATACATCACCTTGGAGTTGGATGAACTGGGATGGACATTTTTCACTATTTTCTGACATTTTATAGACCAAACGACAAAGACTAAATTTATCTAGACAAACAATCTGCAAATTGATTGGTAACGAAAATACTCGCTAGTTGCAGTCCTACTATACACAACATTTTAATACTCATTTCAACATTTGAAATAGTTCAGTAATTAGACACGTGCCATCAACATACAAATATAAATGATCTGAAAACCATAAAATGCCGACAATTGCTATATAAATGTTTGCTCTAATCCTGCAGATTGAACAAATGTGTCCCTGTTATTGTAAATGAGTCTCAAATATGTGTAGAAATAAACTGGACAACAATTTGCTATCGTCTGTTACTACCATACCATAGTCTCAGTCAGTCTTAGTTATATCTCATTGTAGAACCTGCACGAACCTTTTGTAAACAGCATATTGCAGCTGACAAACTACTACTAGTACTACTGCAAACATGTATCATTAACCAGGGAGAGAGTTTACGCACAACCTACACTTTGTCCATAATGCTAATGAATGACGTATTAACCCTGAGATAATCTGAACATTGCGATCACTTCTACCCTGGCCTACTCCGACCCAAGCTTTGAGTAAATCTAAAATATTTTTCTTACTCTGTTATGATTCTTGCTCTCTGTCTCTGACTTATGCTCATTCAATCGGTTGTCTTTTGAAGCAAATTAGTATATAAAATGTTCAGTCTTTAAAATCTTGCTTAGCATCAAAGCCAAAAGCGGTATTTGGCAGGTGAGAGGTAAAGACAAATCTGTGCATAATATATGGAGGTTGACTGATATCTGATTTTATAATGTGCTTTAAATCAAGAACCTTTTGCATTGAATACTAGCCAGGAAGTCCTATCACTTATTGACTTTTCTTCACTGTAGAAACATCTGGAGTAGATGGTCATTGTAATACCTCAGCTGCTCAGTAGATGGAGCAAGCTTTAGGTTGTTGTCAAAATGTCGAAACCGACTGTAAGATCTGAACTGTTGGGCCATCGGTGCTCTGTGTGTATTGTTGCTCTCTTAGCTGTCATCACTGTCATATGTTGAGCTGCTGGTTGTAATAACCAACAACCTTGAATAGATCAATCTCTGCAGGAGGGAATTTCAACATAACCTCATTTATGGACAAAAATGTCCACCTATGGGTTTAGGTTATTTTTTAACAATTTAACTGACAAGGTTGAAAATAATGTACAGTTTGACATCTGTAATACAGAACTCTCTTTTTTTTGTTGTACATTTCCCTGAAATGACTAACAGAGGAGGTCATAGAAAGCTGACCTGAGCAGAGCTGGGTGGGTGTGTTTGTTGATGCTTCAGTACGTGTGTTTGGGGGGAGGTTGCCTCCAGTTGTTTTGATTTTTGCTGTTTCTGTGATGTGGTCATTAGCCAGGATGTTAGGAATTACAAGTGATTGTGAAAGAACAACTGTGTGTGGGTTTAAATACTTGTTAGTAAGTTACTACTCAAAGTTGTTGTATAAGTCGGCTAAACTAGTTTTCACTTGGTTTACATTTTTGTATTATTCAGCATACCAAAATACCACAACGAAATTCTTATAATCTTGAAACAAATATAATGTAGATATGTATAAAGCAAATTATTGTTACGGTGGCAGTTCAGCTGGGCCCTGTATAATATATGTAACATGTTTTCCATTAATGTAAACACAGAGAGGATCACTAAGCTACTCAGTGTTTCCAGACAAACAGCTATTAAACATTATTCCTTCGGGTATATGTGAAGCTAATTAAAACAATATGGGCTATGTCTTTAATAAGTCTGAACCATTGGCATTAACTAGCAGCAGTTCCTAACTTTTATGGATACATGTGAATAGAAAAAGCAATGGATGCAAATAATTACAAATAGCATTAAAAAGAAAAAAAAGGAAAAAGAAACGAGCATTACATTCTGATAAAAACAGCAGGACTGCACACCAAACTGGAAGTTAGTCATTCATTGGTTTCATAAAGCTTCACAAATTCCCTGTAATACATGTAAATGCACTGTGAGGCAGACTGGAGGCCTTTTCCTCTTTTCTATAAAACACAAAGTATTAGTGGGAACGACTGCTTAAGGCTGAGAGATGGCTACCAGTGCTATCTCCCCTATTGCTTTACACAGTCAGCATGCCAGGAGAAATGGGGACTTACTGTGCTCCACTCACTAATGAGCACAACACTGCTGCCTATTAGTAGGTATAAGCAATGGAGCTCAGAGCGTAACCATTATGACCAAATTAAACCTTCAAACAAAAGAATTCTTCAAGTTAAAGTAGTGTCAAACATTTCACTATGTCCTAGATTCTGCCTGAGATCTGATGCCCCTTTACACGCCAAATGAGGCATCGTTGGACCACACAGTTTTCTCTCACAGCAACACAGAATATTCACAAAGATACCAAGTTACAATATCAACACGACAAAACGTTATCTAAATAAACTTTACATGAGGTCAGTTTTACTGAAGAAGTTGGATTACATTTCTTTGACACTGCACAAAGGGCTGTCACTGAAAAAGACGATCAAACTATTTTCTTTTTTTTTCATCTGGAATCCAAACCAGTAATGAATACGAGTAATGCTGCCTCGGCTTCAAGCTGTCCTAACTCTACTGTCTGTGACTAAGTGTGGGGAAATTGAGTAATACTATGATGTGGTGACCGAGAACTAATGCTGAAAGTGTAGTGGAGGATGTGGAGAGCTTGTCAAGACTCCAAGGTCAAACGTATAGCTTCGGGCAAAATAGTGAGTGTATCTATGTTTGCATCTTTTAGTTTGTCAGTTCATCGCCAGATTTTTTTAAAACGTCTATTTCAAGTTCAGAATTGGTTCATTGAAGTTAAGTTGAGATTTGAGTACTTTTTGAGTACTGTTTGTGCAAGTCCTGCATCCCTATTACCTCGCACAAGATGAGGGTCGCCTAATGCCAGAAATGCAAATGTAATCAGGCTGCAGACTGCAGTGACTTGTGTGTGAGTATAAAAAGACTTTGGCCACATGTTGCAAAACCATTAACAGAATTTACTAGCACATATTTCGTCTACATAGCACTCAAATGTGGAGACAAATTTATGAAACTGAAATATATTTTCCAGATGACATATTGCGTTTCTCGCTTCATACGGCTGCACTGCCAATAGACGTATGCAGCGCGTTTTTCTTACCCAGAGCATTACCCCATGCCCTGCTGGAAATAACTCGTGCACAAATGAAAAGGATGCGATGCTAATATTTACTTGTCACCATGGCAGCAGTGTTATATACAATATATAAAATCTGGCCGGTGGAAAAAAAAAGTGTGGAATAATGCAGACACGGCAGACAGACCATCATTTGAGGTAATTTGTGAGTTAAAAGGCTGGAAGGTTATTGATAATGCATGTGCACTGACATGTCACATTTGTGTTCTGTCTTGCAATATTGAATCTGTGTTTTTAAGCCTTTTCTTGAAGGAGAAATGGTGATTTCTTTTTTTGATATAGAGGCTGATATCTGGGGCAGAAGTGTCACAGTCTGCATGAGCTCATGGAGATATGCATTACAATTGTGAAACACTGCTAAAATGAAGCACTGCCCTCGAAGCACCTCTCTCAGGGGAGCAATAAAAAAAACAAGCACACTGTGGTATCCGCCTTGACATCATTCTTTTCAGCCAGCTTGACGATATTTCCTGCACACGTAAGGGAACAGCTTGCCAATAACATCAATGACTTTTTGGACCAGTGTTTACCTTTTACAGCCGTGTATAAGACTTCATATGTCTGTAGAATATGCAGCCGATGATATCATCACTAACTGTTGCGGGGCCAAAGACGCTTCTGCCAACCACCCACAATGCTCCCTCATTCTAATCATTTCCTGCAGGAAAGCAGGAAGACACCTTCATGTGTTCTAAACATGTTGGCTGAAGTGTAGCTGTTGTGTGAGTGCATGCTCTTGCTTCGCTTTTAATGTG